TACTCTAGATTCCGCCAAAGAATGGGCTTTTGGAAGCAATAGTCGAATAAACCTTCGCTTCTAGTAACTCGCCATGGCTCATGGAATATAGCGAGCTTCGGCCAAGCCATTGTGGGGGGACATTACTCCGACGGCAGGACATTGGTCGAGAGCCTCTTTCAAATTATTTCATGCCAAATACTTGCAGAGATGGCATTCGCTGACTATCGCACGAGGGAACGCCGCTTAATAAGAGTTCGGCCAAAAGCTGATCACATTGCAGCTGCAGTTGAAAAGTTTCCACGTTGTATTGAGCAGATGGAGTGTTCCTCGAAACATGGCTTCAAAACTCAAGGTTGCTGTCCAAGTGGTCTTCTCGACGATCACTTCATTCCGTGCGTGTAGATTCGTAAGCAGCCCTTGGCTCGTCACAAGTGGACACGCGGTGCCCAGCCAAAGCCAGCAAGTCGGGTCGCCGCACCGGAAAGTGGACGGCGAGGAGTAGGAGGGCACACAACGGATGAGCCGACGGATAGGTATCATCTGAAGGAAACATCAGACTCGACACATGGAGCGCCGACCGGCGACGATCACGATGGGGGCACCCAGCTCAGAGCCTCAGACAAGAGAGCTTCGGCCGTTCGGTGGGCTTGGCAGAAAAGCAGACGTGTACAAGAGAGACTAGCTAGAGGCGTGGAGGCTGGAGTGTGCCAATACCTGCTTCATTGGTAAACCGAAACGTGTAACGCCGGCATGAAGTCATGGTGGAGGAGGGCCAAGCTCAGAGACCAGACAAACTAGTCGATGTAATTCAGACGAAATGTGTAGTACGACAGTACGGGGAGTTGGGTATGGGCTGATGAGAGTTTGTCACCCGCCGATCGTTGTTGTAGTCGTCGTCAACCCTTCCCGTCAAATCATCAGGATTGTAACCTTCTTGGCAGGTTGGAATATTACCGTGGTGATATTGACTTAGATTCTGTAGTCGTATGTGCAAAGCACTTGTGCAGCTTTTGTGAATGTCGACTCTGTGATTGGGACGTCGAGATGTATCAAACCCGGCGTATCGTTGCATCGCCATCCGTGCGCCGGGTCAAAAAAAGAAAAGAGTCGAAGTTGTCGAAGATCCAAACGTCTTAAATTGTGTTGGCTTGAGGCACTCGGACCGGGGGTCTGTAACGAGGTGGTGGTGCTGCGTTCATGCGTTGAGTCAAGAACCTTTTTTTTGCGACCCATACGGAGTGGACTAGCTGCGTCTTAGTATAGTCGCTTATGAGCTTCGCTGCCATGCTGGAAAAGTTTGTTTTTCCTTCTCTGTAGTCTGCTACTTTTCATCTCAACTTGTTCCGAAAGAAAGAAACGGTCTGAAGTCTTTGATGCAATAAGACTTGGAGGATGTTGATCCGGCCGACTGGCGCGCGCGCGGTTGTGATGCGATGAAGACTGGAGCGAGTCGAGATCGACAGAGTTTACCTAAGCCGACGTCGGCATTCCTCACTACGGGTAATAATATCATCGTAGAGCTTTTTCAAAGACACTGGCCGTTTGTATGTCATTGCTCAAGGGGTAATTGAATTAAGATTCCCTCCACATCAGCCCCATGGACCGGACGCTAGGAGCCTTATGCAGTCTGCCTTCGTTCCGCAACGTCTCCCGATGCAAGGGGCAACTTTGTAGGCGTAAGGCACGATGGAAAGCGTGGAGAATCTCAAGACGTCGAAGAACGACAGGCAAGGGCTTATCTCGCGCGTGCGAGAACGTCGATCAAACCGTCGCATGCCGCATTCCAACCCCAGACCAAGTCACACCCCCTTATCCCACCGTACCCAAAGAGCCCCAATCCCTACAAGGCGCAAGACGCAGCTGTGTCATGCCAAATATTCTAGACGAATCCCATCGTGTTGCGCGTGGGACTCTCTGCCTCGACGACGAATTAGTCTCGCCCTAGCTCCCCGGCCCGCACCACCCAACTGCCCCATCAGGCGATCCAGACATTCTTCAACTGCCGAAAGCAGACACATCAAAGACCATGGGACTTTTCAAGGTTCCATATCCTAGCTCCCGGTCTCGCGGCGACGAACGTTTGTCAGGTGGAAACATGACACGCCCGTGCTTGGGAGAAAGGGGAACTTGGGCGAACATAGGAGAGGCCTCTTCCGCCCCGGCGGGCGGGATGTGGAGGGAGACATACACCCACTTTGCCCAGAGACAGCATCGTACACTCGTGTCTGAGTCTGTCTCTCAAGTGTCACTGGCGTAGTTGATCATCGTCGCGGGTGTCGTGCGATTGACGGTTCGCCTGATGCGACAGATCCGTCCAGGCACGTCTCCGATTCGAGTACAGGCACACAAGACCGGACGCAAATGGGGGGTTCTACAGACACAAACGCACGGCTCTTCTGTCCTTCACGTCTTCTCTCCCTTGACTTGTTTGATTTAGATCCAACTCTTCTAATTCAACCCCAGCTCGGAATCTAGGGGACGTTCCGAACCTGCACTTCATCATCCCCCTCCCCTTGCTACCGAACACTCACAGGGGGGCATGTCAGGTCTAGTATAAGGCTGCGCTGATGTCCGGCGGGAAGACGAGCTTGACCCTTGAATCTTGGAGCGGCGGGATTGCGCTACAGCTCTAACTCCATCTCACGACAACCACAAAAACTGACAAGATGGCGACGAACAACCGCTGGCCGCTCCAGGACGAGCAGGCTGGTCCTAAGCGTCCTCCCGCCGTGTCGGTGGCGGAGTTTGACGACGGGGTCAGTGAGAAAAACGAGACGCTGGTCGTCGGTACGACAAATCTCTATGTGGACGGGCAGCTGAGGCTGATTCCTGTAAGTCTGGCGTATCCTTTTGATGCAAAGGCCTTTCTGACAACGTGTAGATGCCCACGGCTGATCCCAAGGGTGAGTTTTGTAGTCTCCCATTTCACGCCAACAAGCAAGGTGATTGATGTTAGAATGATGTGTAGACCCATTGAACCTCCCCGCATGGCGAAAATGGACGGCAATCGGTGCCCTTTGCTTCTGTAAGACATCCCATTAATCACATGAAGGGCCACTTAAGACTGACTTGTTCCCACAGTCGGTGCCCTCGCCCTGTCAGCAGAGGTCGTCATCGGTGGTCTCCTCCCCGTCTTCATCCTCGAGTACTCGGGGGTCGACCCGCGCATCCTCAACAACATCGACTTCAAGGCCCAGAGTGGCGGCAGCGGTCTCAACATCAATCCCATGTCCGTCGTGCCACCTGGCGTCAAGCCAGCTTCCCTCGATGAAGTCGCCCTCCTGGCCACGATGCCCCTTCTGGCGAACGGTATTGCGAGCTACTTCCTCGTTCCCACATCCATCTGGATCGGCCGTCGACCAGTGCTCTTGTTCGCTGCAACTAGTGCTTGGGCTGGTGGCTTGTTTGCTGCCTTTAGCACGAGCCTGCAACAGCACTTGCTTGCCAGAGCACTCATGGGTCTGGGCGCGGGTGCGGTAGAGGCACTGATTCCCCTGATTGTTCAGGATATGGTCTTCATCCACCAGAGAAACAAGGCCATGTCGGCCGTAGTCTCCAGTCAGGGTATCATCATCATCGGTCTTGGTGTTGCAGCACCATGGGTATCCGCCAACTACACCTGGAGGTGGCTATACTACATCACTTCCGGCATGGGCATCTTGGCTTGGGCCATACTCATTGCCTTCTTGCCTGAAACTCGCTGGACTCGTTCCCAGGAAGAGCTTAGTACGTCTCGCCCCAACCCTCAAATGGTATTACTCGAATACAGCTAACCTGTCACAGGTGGTCAGAATACCGTTCCTCTTCTGCCTGGCCAGAACCGCCCCGAGCTCGATTACGTCAACTACACGCCGCGCACCGTCTGGACCAACATCGGTGTCTTCCAAAACGGCTTCGAGTTCAAGCGCGCTGCCAAGTCCATGTTCGATGCCCTCAGATCCACTTACTTCCCTGCCATCATCTGGGGCGTGCTGGCCAACAGTTCCATGATTGTCATCAACCAAGCCGCTCAGCAGATCACGCCGTTCGCCCTCCTCGCCCAAGGCTGGCAGTTCCAGTGGACTGGTTTGACCGTGCTTCCCTTCTTCGCGGCCTCGGCTCTGGTCTACGTCTTTGGCGGTCCTGTGGCTGACAAGATTTCTAACGCTGTGACGAGGTGGCAGGGCGGGAGCAGAGAGCCGGAGCATCACCTGGCCAACTTGATCCTGCCTCTCGTTTCTGGAGTGGCGGGCTGCTTCGTCTTCGGAACCGCTGGTGAGCAGAACATGCACTGGGCAGTCCTACTGGTCGGCTCCTTCTTGATCGTCTTTGCCTTTTTGACGACCATGACCATTCTCAACGTCTTCATTGTCGAGAGCTACCCGCAATGGGCAGGGTATGTTCAAGCTCAATCAACCTGGTGGAATTGCATGGCTGACACACTAATAGACCGGTTCTCGTCAATGTATCTTCACTCCGCATTGTCGTCGCTTTCTTCATCGCCTCCAAGGCCACTGTCTGGATAGCTGAGAAAGGACCTCTCCAAACATTCGCCTTATATGCGGAGGCAATCATCGTCCTGTCTCTTGGGTTGCCGATTCTCTACTTCTGGGGCAAGAAAATGCGCCAGTGGACTGCCGGAAGTGTCAAGAACAAGCAGAGTCAAAAGGAGAAGGCTTTCGACGATGGAGCTTCGGTGTAGATGTGGTAATGATAATGAGACTGTAGGGAGAAGAGCCCATCACGGATCAAACACCCCGGTTGGTCTCTGGCTAAATATAGATAATCAACTAATAGAGATCGATAAATATCATTCCAGTCGCTACCGACATGGAGACCCTCCAATCCATCATGAAGGAAAACGAGACAGAAGCACGCAACCTTCATCACTCTTGTCTAACGCCGCATCCCAATCATTCTGCAGCCTTCCGTGGAAGAGCTTGCGTGTCCACCCATGAAATATCAAGTGCGCATTCTAAACCTCCCGAAATGAAGTCACAAGTAGACGTAAGAAAACAAACAAATTCGGCCACACTCTGTCATCTCCAAGCAAGAGATGCATCAAAAGATGGTAGGTCCTCCACCTCTGGCTCCATCACTTGGGGGTAAAGCGACTGCGACGCGATCTGCAGCGGTATAGAGAGGTTGGTCTTGGAACCACTGAAGTTGACAGACATGCGCAAGATGTAGCTTCGAGCGATGAAACAGTTGAAGAAGGTGGGCAGGAACATCTTGTGGGCGGTAGGAAGACGAATAGGAACCTTGGTTCTCGATCGCCAGCAGAACACATTGCGGTCTTCTGGCTGATCATCCTTGTGCCATAGGATAACTCCCGTGTCTGTCGTAGAGAGCTTGGTTTGGGTAGAGTATCGCAACTCGTGGCGCAGCCCTGCCGCCTCCCGGGGGTCTCCTAGGTCGGGCGACATCTTCATGGGGGTTCCTGTGAACCACGTCTGAGTATCTAGCTTAACCTGACCCAGAGTGACTTCCGGTGGGAATGAGAATGAGGAGGTGGATTCAAAGCTCAGGTCCAGTGTTACAGATGCGTGGGAGTCGGGTAGCTGGTGGCCGCCGATGCCGATGTAGACCGCCTCAGGCTGAAGGGCATTGATATGGATGCGATGTTTCTGCGTAGAGAGAAGGCTTCTGCGGACGGACTTGGTCCTGGATAGCGTGTAGCGTGCATCGTGGTTGTTAATGTTTAGAGGCGGGTCCTCAGCAAAGGCTGGGAGGATCATGATCCGCTGGCTGGCCTCGGTAGTATCTTTTGGGCTGGAAGATCTCTTCCGGAGCAGTCGAGCGACTATCTTATACTCCACCTGAGCCATTGTCGGTGACATGTCATCCTTTCCCCAACCACCCATCGATGGAGGGAGTCGCATGTGTTGATCATGGGAGTGATCGCCTGAAGGAGTCTCACAGGCATCTTTGTGTAGTTCTCGTGGTATGGTGAAGTTGAATGGGATAATGTGGGTTTCTCCTGCCGCAAAGACCTGTCCTTGCGGGTAGGAAGTCTTGGTGATGGGCATGTCTAGGTTGAGGAAGACATCGGTGGTGATCTTAGGGACGGGTAGCATGTCAACCCGGGTATGAGAGGTTCCCATCAGAGCAATCTGGACGCAATGAAAGGGAGTACGGCTTTCTGGACAGATAGCGACTGTGCCTGTGATGTGGGAGCCGCTGGTATAGATCTTGGACGAATAATGATCGTCAATTTTGATGTCGAGGAGAGGCATCTTGGAAGCCGCAGACCACATTGCGGCCTTGAGTCGTGTTGTAAAAGAGGAGTACGTAAAACTGATATACTTCCGTGGCACAGATAATGTTCAGGTTGATATCGACTGTTTGAAGTGCAAAGATCAGATGGATGAGACAGGAAGAAACTCCAAATTCACCGAAGAAAAGGGGGAAACATGCCTTCTTATGCACCAAATCGGCCAGCGTAAGAACGGACATTGTCTTCTTGATTCAGTCCGGGCCCCGAGAACTAGCGGCAGTAAAGTTTTCTCGTCCGGTGCATTTCTTTGACCCCGACCCGGCTCTTCCTAACGTACACGGTCACGATACCGAGTCGTGGCCTCCGGAGCCCCACATCTCGGCACCGCTCAACGTACACGGTCGGGCCCCGCTTCGGTCTTGCTAGCTCCCGCTTCTTCTTAACGTTAGCGGTTAACCGAGATAAACCCCGAAAGAGGGTCCCCGGCTATTTTCTACCATAGCGGAAAGGAAACGTAACAAAAACTCAAATTGCACAAATCATTGGAAATTTCGTTATCGCGGCTAGCGTTGGCGCTTCGAGCTAGACTTTCCCCAGGACCCCAGGAAAGGCCTTGGAATGTTCATGACTTGATTGGCTGCCGTCATGGCGTTCATCGGGGTGACCTGCAATTTGTGCGAGACTTGACAAGCTGCTCGCCTAAAGCAGCTGCAGGAATCTCAAAAGTGGCAGGCTGTCCCGATGAAGTCCATGATGCTCACAATCAACTCTGATCTCTTGAATATTCAGGGACAGCTGAGGAAATCAGAAAGCCTGTTCCTGTCCAGAGATGACTCCCGTCTGAGAGCACATGCACACTAAGGTAGAACCCTCCTCGCTTCTCATACAAGACAACTGGTATAATTGACATGCGAAGTGGAATTCTCATCATTCATATTAAATGGACCTCATATTTTCGGTGCCTTCTGTCCGAGTCTCCTCATACCTGCCTATTCTTCACAATATTTTTCTTTGCCAAGGTTGGTAACTCATCATTTGAGATCTTCCCAAGCTTCAATATACTCACCATCGCGTCTAGTTTGTTCCTCAACCCTGAGATGGGACTAATTAACTTTTCGAGTATAGAATAAATCAAATTGGGTAAGAAGTCTTTGAAACGCTTAAGTGAAAACGGTTCAAGACTTGGAACATTGCCGTTGAGTAGAGATAAATTCAGCGAAAAAAAAAAAAAAAGCCCGAGTTCATGCATTCAAGCCATTCAGGAACTGCCTACTAGCATCCTTATGTCATACTTCACATCGCTTCCTTTGCGATGATGCCCAATTCGTTGCCTGTCGTTGTCTTACCTGCCATCCCGCGGTAAAATGAAAGATCAAGTTCCCAACGAATAGAAAAAAGAACATAAGTGGCTATCAAAAGCGTTCTAATTTTGCAGCACTGTTGATGGGTCCCCAACCAGTAGCAGTTCTCTACCACCTCAGTTTAGATGAATAAGGTCAAGTTGGGCTCTGAGAGTCCCCTTGACCTAAGTACCATTTTCTGATGGGAGCTGGTGGATGGAGAATAGAGGGATATAGCAGCTTCACGCTATGTAGGGTCTAGCGAGACTTCGAGACTTCTCAAAATATGTGTTCCTCAGTGTTGAGTGCAAGCCAGATTCAAGTTGTGACTTCACTCCATCGCGGAGATAGGAAATTCTGCTTCTTGCCGGCTCGTATTCCAGCAGAGCATGACGATGGGATCTTGAATGAAGCAATGTCCCCATTACTGATTCCTTGTTAACGACCTTTCTGATACCGTGCCATTGCTCAGCATAGCCTGGGGGGTGTTTGAGTTTGCTTACGAGTGACCAGCTGACTCGATCGGCTGACGTGCCGGACACGGCTGTGTCGCAATACTTACCCTGATTGAACGCAAGTCCTTGATATATGCTTTGCACTGCGCGCGGCAAGTTTCTAACAAGACCCGCCTCCCCCACTTGACCCCGAGATCACGGAAGTAACCCATCGTCACCCGGCCTCCAGTGTGGACGCGGGCCGCTGCGGATGCGGGGTAGCATCCGGGGTTATGGCAGTTCTCCGCGGACGCATACCCTTAGGTTTATCTCCCCGAATGACTCGCTAGACCAATGGCACGCTACGGGTTGGTAAGTTCGGTCTTGTAATGAAAGACGTGGTCTGTAAAGGGGTAGGCTGGAGTAGATAGGATAAGGCGGAGCCGGTGTTGAGCGGAAATTGCGAGAACCCGTGTTAGCATTTGTCTAGATTATCAAAGTAGACTTTGAAAAAATCAACTCATATCGTACGTGCAAGAGCAACAAAACATGTCAACATCGAATGATTCCGCGATGGAGTCGAGCGTCTTGGTAAGTGTTGCCGGTGTCCTCGAGTTCGAGGATGTCACGATACCGTGGGCTTTGCAAACTAATTCTTGAATACTCGATAGGGATGGCCACTTTCGTGGAGGATCTGGATTCTCCTGAACGTTAGCTTCTACAACCTTTTGGGAAATGCTTTTGCTGCGGGTGCTCCTCCGCTATTTTCGCGCATTATTGCAGAGCTTCATTGCACTTCGGAAGAGGCCTCCCAGCTCTCTACCTATGTGCTTTTGACTCTAGGTCTCTCGGTAAGCCTATCTTCAAAATGAGAACATTGAAAGTTTTGCATGTGTGGCTCTTGAGAGACGCGAACTAACTTACCTTCAACTCTAGAACATCTTCGCCCTCCCTGCCGCATCTCTCATCGGTAAACGATACACGATTCTGATATCGCTTGTCATGTTCTTTGTCTTCTGCCTTTGGTCAGGAGAAGCAACCACATTCAATGACTTGAGAACATCAAGGATTCTCGGCGGGCTCGCTGGCGGGCTTGTTGAGGCGTTAGGGCCCAGCTTTGTTGAAGAGGCGTTCCCAAACAATCAGTTAGCAAGCGCAATGGTTGTCTACGTTGGACTCCTAGCTGCCGGCTCATCGATCGGACCAATCATTTCCGGAATTGTTGCGGATGGTACTGGAGATTGGAGATGGTACTTCCGAATTCTCTCGGCCCTGATCTTCATCACATTTGTCGGATCACTGATCATGCTCCCGGAAACACGTGCGGACTCGCCAAAGACGGCTGAAGTTGAGCTCAACCCCGTTATCACTGAAGATAATCCTAAAGGTCTGCCCTTGAGCCCTACCTACGCCGAAGTCGAAAATGCCAACCAGCAAGGCTATCCAGGACCTAGAGAAATCGGAAAACAATGGAGACTGCGCTCTTTCTCGACAGCATATGTCGACATGGACTGGAAGCTCGCCGCATCGAGCCTCTTTCAGCCTCTTCAACTTCTCGGCGCGCCACAGGTTATTGTCACAACTTTGGTATTCGGTCTCACCATTGGCTGGACTGTTCTAGTATCGATCTTACTCTCGGTGGTATATAGCCCCCCGCCTCTACTGTGGGGTGCCCGAGATGTCGGTCTGCTCAGTGTTGGACCATTGGTCGGTCTTCTGATTGGTCTCCCAGTCGGAGGTGCGTTGGCTGATCACTTGTTCAACCGAGCCACACGATTCAATGGTGGAAGACAGGATCCAGCTTCAAGATTGCCAGCTGTGATTATCGGAGGTCTAATCAGCCCAGGTGGATGTCTGGTCATTGGATACGGCCTTGCATCGCCGGAGAAGTGGGCGCAAGTCAGTGTTGGCTATGGCATGCTGGCCACTGGTCTGACTTGCTCGGCGAATGTGTTACTGACGTACGCTGTTGATACCATGCCACCTAGAGCAAGCCATATCGGAGTGCTGGTGAATTTGATCAAGAACTCTGTTGGCTTCGGAGTCTCTTACGCGGCTACAAGTTGGATGGCGCAGGTGGGACCTGTCGCTCAGTTTGGTACCATGGCGGGAATCCTCTGGGCGGTGTATTTATTGGTGATTCCCCTTTACTTTTTCAGTGATGCAGTCATTCGCAAGACTGCAGCACTCGCTTAGGCTGAGAGGGTAGTCTTCTAGACGGGCAGGCGTAGTGAAGTTGATATAGAAACACGAGCGTATGGATCCCGTCTATAATTCTTCCCTGGCAGCAAATAAGAACATTTGGGCACTCGACTGCTAGCACCCTCTTACAAACCTCTTTCAATATTGAGCTTAAAAATTTCATATGAATAAGAAAGGGGCAGCATCTTGGTGTGAATCTTGGTGTGATTTAACATTATCAATGATTGACACAACGCACTTATAACAAGCTACCGTACGTGAGTCGTGCTTTGGAGCGAAGAATCAACCGTCTGTAGGTTCGCAGACTCTATCCTAGACACCAGGGTCCTAGGCGCTCATGCCGTAGCAAAAGACGTTTCATTTAGCTTGCCTAGTCTACACGTGAGTGGTGCAGAATACAATCGTTCAGTTCGATACAAGACGTTCTACATCCATGTCGGCTGAGCGGTAGAATCCCAGACTTTTCAGCATGGGCATGTCATCAAAACGATACAGGTATACGTCTGTCTTCAGACCCTCGTCCGCGAAATGCTGATACGGATACCAAGAAGGAATGCAGAAGGTATCACCCTTCTTCCAAATGAGATCTGTATTACCGATGCGAGAGCGCCCAGATCCCTCGACGATATGGTAAACAGATGATGCCGTCTCCTGAACGAGAGGGGACTTGGCACCGGAGGCCAAGCGGGCGGCACGACCACCTAAAACCTTGCTGACTGGAGCGTTGCACAAGTCAGTTCAAGTGCCAAAAATGGTAATGAGGCGGAACATAAATCAAGTACCTTCGGATCCATCTGCACGAAGATAGCTTTGTGTAGCATATTGCCCTTCCTCGGCGTCAAGTGCTGCTTTCATTCGACTCCACGGAAAGACAATGGGCGACTGGGATGTATCAACATTGTCTGCTGGGTATCGTGGAGACGAGAAATGCTCGACGAAATGAACAGGAAAGTGGGTAAAGTTGGGCAAATCTAAGCCATCAAGCCAGATCATCGGGCCGGACCCATCCTTTCCATGATCATGCCAATTCCAAGTGGGGGTCAAGATTACATCTCCCCGGTTCATTTGGATGCGCTTTCCGTGAACGGCAGTGAAGCCGCCATTGCCCTCAATGATGAAGCGCATAGCAAAAGCCGTGTGCCGATGTGCCGGTGCTGTCTCATTGGGCATGACCAGCTGCAGCCCAGCATAAAGAGTGTCAGTCGTGAAGGGAGCATCTGGGATTTTGAGTCAGAGATGGATCTGAGATTCAGAAGTAAGAGACCTAAAGCTCCATCGACACGAGCTGCGTACCTCTGGAAGGGTTGACGAGCATGAGTACCCTGCGCTCAGCTTGCTTTTCGGTAACAAGCTGACCCGCTTGCAAAAGGGTGGGTTGAATTTCAGAATACTTCCAAAGATGGGGTGTGCACCGCGGGTTGGGCAGAGGGGGGTTTAGTCTGGTCATTTGCAGCCACAGAGGCTTTGTGTGGTTGGCCTCGGCGGCGCGCAGCATCGCTGCGGTGTTGTCTTCAGCCGGCTCGGCTTGATGCGAGGTTTCTGTGACGGTTGTTGAAGACATGGCTAGCTCTGGGATTGTTAGGATGATCTTTAGGTAAGTCGAGTTGCTTGAGTCAAGTAGTAAGGAATGGATTTCTTTCACTCTTCCTGGATGATTTTTGAGATAGCGATAATTCAGTGTTGACGAGATGTGTTTATGACTTGATCAAAAACACATGATTTACGGGTGTTTGCCGAACTCTCATCCCGTATGAAGACCAACCGCGTTTCGCAAATACTGTTAACGTGATGGCGAGGTTACAAAGCGAACACAGATGTGTTCGGGGAGTTAAGCTCTTGGCCGAAACAGCATGGTCGGACGCGCTGGCAAAGACACCAACCACTACGCTAGCCGTCCGCGATTCGTCGTAGCACAGCCTCTCAGCGTTGGGCGTACAGCACTTAGAGTTCGATGCTCTTCCCTAACTCCCCGCCCTCCCTTTTCAACTACACCGGGGACTTGATCATCTTTCTCTCTAAATCCCCGCCTCTACCAGTCTCTGCCCTATCGTGCCACACAACTTGTAAGCTGTACGAAGACTTTCTCCGGGAGATGGAGAACAGCACTCCAGGGCCAACAGGCGCGTCGACTCGGAAGCGGAAGCGTATTCCGATTGCTTGCAGCTCCTGTCGAGCTCGGAAGTCAAGGGTGAGTGCGACATTCTCGGACTGCCACGCCGGTGGGAGCAAGTTTTGGTAGATTTCGCCTGGACGGGATCGTACCGCCCACCGGGTGTTACTGGTAATGATAGAAAACTAATCCGAACACTCTTGAAAATAGTGCGACGGTGTTAGGCCCCAGTGCTCCGCTTGCGTCGAACAAGGTATAGAGTGTATCTACGCAGCCAACTCTGGTGGAAGCAATGCGCTGGTACCGAAACAGTACGTTTGGTGGATCTTACTGGAGAGCTTTTCTAAAACTTACCATGCTCTGTGACTAGATATCTTGAACAAGTCGAACATCGCCTAGCCGATGTCGAAGAAGAAATTAGTCGGCTGAAGAGACTTATACCCGCCTCGTTTCTACAAGGAAAGCAACACGTCCTCTTTCCACGTAGCATTTCTGGCCATACCGATGACTTCTCAGAAGTCAACTATCCCGAGGAGTCACTGAATGTTGAGGATGGAAGCGTCACGCAGGGCATCACCCCCGACGCAACAGATGGCGTTGGTACCATTGAGTTTACCACCGACGAGTCTTGGGCGTATTTCGGTATGACACAATAAACAAGATTTTACGGCCAGGGGCCTCGATTTTTTCCCTACACCTGCTGATTCAACCACCGGTAATTCAGGGCCTTCATCCAATATTGCCTTCACGAGGATTATCCGCCGCACGCTTGATCACTTATTGAACAAGACCCAGAAAGATGAGCGCGGGGATACATCCTCGACGCCTGCAAAGAATACACAACAACACATCCTGGCTGTCTCTAGATCTCAGTCACCAATCACTGATTCCTTCGACTCAAGGAAACTCGAAAAGCCATCCGAGGCATCCCGTTTGCCACCCGAAGAGGAGGTTGTCAATCTTGTGCGCCAATTCTTCCGTGACACAGGTCTCCTATTTCCTTATATACACGAAGAGAGTTTCTGGAAAGCGTACGCTCAGTACCGAGCAACAGGTATGCAGAATGCGAAAACCGCATGGCTTGCACTATTGCACATGGTTTTAGCCATGGCTACGAGCACAATGAACGCTACAGGTGTCGGTTTGGGCGATCGACAGGCGATATCAGAGGTTCATTACCGGCGCGCCAAAGCCCTGTCTATGACTGAGATGATGACAGGAGCCAATGTAGAAGCAGGTACTGCCGCAATTCCTTCCTTTACGTCTTCAGTATTTGCTGGATCTTTCAGCACGAGTCCCTTTAGCTGACCTCAGGTTTCTGAAAGTCCAGGCCATGCTCCTGATGTCACAGTACCTTCAAGGCAGTCAACGGTCTATACAGACATGGGCAATACACGGACTTGCTGTAAAAGCTGCACTCGAGTTAGGATTCCATTCCGAACTAGCGCTTCAAAGATTCGAACCACTCGAAAGAGAAATAAGGATACGCACTTGGTATGGATGCGTGGTACTTGACAGGTAAGTAGCATATCCAGTGGATCTAGCGACCGGCTGTATAAGAAACAAGTATATCTAACAAGATCACCATGGAAATACAGAACGCTTAGTATGACATTCGGCCGGCCGCCAATTATTCCGCAAAACTATATCCGAACACCTCTGCCAAGACATTTCATTTCCCATCAGAGAACTTCCGATACCTCGAGATGGTCCAACGAGGAAGAGAGCACTGCGTTTTGGAACGCCTCCATGTTTGTCTACCACGCAGTTCTCCTCTTGCCTGATTTTACTGATAGTTGGCTACCTAGAACGCTTTACGGAGTGACCGCCGCCGTCATTGACGATCTATACGAAAGCAATATTGGATCCATATCGGCCATTCCGTTGACAAACACCGTGGCTAGTGTGATTCAGATCGGACAAAAACTGGCTGACTGGCAGGCATCTCTACCTCTAACGATGCAACTTGTGGAGCCGAGCGAAGTCGCCAGCCCTGAGGGGAAGATGATGTTACTGAAGTTCCGTGTAATACTAACACTCCGGTATCATAACTTGCAACTACTGTCACATCGCCCAATACTAGACCGTTGCCTACAATCATTCGATGGAAGCCTCCAGTCACCTCAGGAAGCGGCCACGCTGCAACAAGCGTGGCATCTCAGTAGAACAGTATGCCTGCGGTCGGCGGAAGCTATCATCCGCCTGGTTGAAGCCTGCAAACTTGCGAATGATGTCCAGCCTACCGTCTCATTCCTTGGAGCGTGGTGGTTTAGCCTGTACTTCAGTGAGTATGGCCTGCTATCTGAGAGAATGCCAGAGCTAATTCCACTCAAGCCTTCAATGCCTCTTTAACTATTGTTGCGACAAAGCTCGTCGAGGATAGCTATGGGTCTATGCCCTTTGATCAAGGCTATACAAACACCGCTATACGACTTGACGATATTTTGAAGAGTGCAGTTAGTTGCATTGCGCGGTTGGATATTCAGAACCCCATGGTAGAGAAGTGCGCAAAGTTCACCGCAACTTTGATTTTCATGGTGCAGAGCTTGCAAATGAGTACGTGGTCGAGTCTGTTTATAATATGTACCTACATGTACGGAAACTAACTTCAGCAAAGCTCCGGGCCGGGACGATGTCGCCCGTGAAGTGGCAGGAATGGGATCAAGCCACGCCATTCCCTCAAACGGAGTTCAGGGTACGCAGGCCACGCAAATAGCGTCGAATGGAGGAATGGATGACGCCTTTTCCAACCTGATGAACTATCTCCCACCCAACTTCAACGATTTCCCCAACACTGGTGCAAACTTCTCCATGTCTGAGTTGATGGATGATTTTGCTACAGGAGACTTGTTTTGGTAGGCGCTAGACACTCGATTTTAGTCACTACATGCAGGAACAAGAAAACTGTTGTTGAATCATCGAAGCTGCTCAACTTATCATTTCCGAGGGCTGAATAAGAGCCCTTATTCATGACAACAAGTAATCTTGGGATTGCGAGACGTGCTTTGAGAATACATCCTGCATCTGTGATTCGTCGATAAAAGTACGGGCGATTTTCTCGTTGAACCATCTCAATGAATAGCTTTTCATCCACCATTTTAACGGTCACTAACTTCTGTAAGGTATTCCCATAATGGTCTGCGAGTCGAAATGCTAAGCAACATATCCTCTCAATTGGTTCTAACAGGAGACCTTCAATCCTTCTCACTCTAGCTAACTGACCAGATCTTTTCACAATCCATCGTATTACAAAAGCCTGCAGTCATATCGATATCAATCTTCTTACGCCTCACTCTCCCATTTCCATTGCTCCAACATCCTGTCCTCGGCGTCGTAACCATAAGCCCATGATTGAGTGAGGGGGTCGGACCACTGATTTGGGCTGCTCGCAAACTTGCGACCCTCAACTTCGGGACGCATCGCCTCATCTCGAGCCTTCTGTTCCGGGCCATCCTTGAAGTGCCATAGCAGGGCATTCACCATGCTGGCCTCCTGCATCATGGAGGTGCGTGCTTTTCTTTCTCTCTGAAACAACTGAAGCGCAAGACCGAGCTTTTCACGATTTGGAATGTTGTTGAGGGCCACAGCCAGAGCGGCACCGTCTTCAACTGCCATGGCTGCCCCTTGCGACATGTAGGGGAGCATTGCATGGGCTGCATCGCCAAGGATAACAAGACGCTCGGAATCCGCAACCCATTTATCCAACGGGACGCCAGCCATCAAAGGCCACTTGATTGTGGTGTCAATCAGTTCGATGATCTTCGTGAGCCTACGATATGTCAGCAAGTTAAGCAAATACCTTTTGAGAATAAACGCGGTCATACTGTGAGTCCCAACCACTGAATTCTGCTCTCATCTCTCCCAGAATCTCGGCTTGGGTCTTTTGTTCCCACGTTGAAGGATCCCTCGAGTCCCTGTGAGATAGCACCATATTGAAGGATTCGCCGGCAGCAATAGTGTAAGTCATGACGTGACGATCTTCCCCAATCCTAAAGAGCATGTTAGACCGCCATCTTCAACATACTTGATCTCATGTGAGCTTACCAGACGTGCAATCCAGGCTTTTCAAGGATCCAGGCAATTTCTGGGATCTTTCTCATCTTACTGACATCCACCGTGGCTCGGTAGACTGCAAACCCAGTGTAGTTTGTTGCCTCGACTTGGTTGGAGGGGAGCAGATTTCGAGCTACCGACTTGACGCCTACATTACAAGGAGATATTAGCCCAGATACATATCGCATTTTAAAACATGGAGGATGTACTCACCATCGGCAGCAACAATGAGATCAGCTGAAAAAGTCTCGCCGCTAGCCAGAGTCGCACTTGGTAGGTGAGGGTTGTAGCCAGCGACCCTGCTATCCAAGCGAACCGCAACCCCAAGATCCTTGGCCCGCTGACAGAGAGCAGAGTGGAGGTGAGCACGATGTGCGACGTAGTATGGTGCCCCACAGAGCTCGATAAATGATTCAGAGAGATCAGTGAAGCCAATACGATGGCCATTCTCCCAGCGACGAAACGAGATGCCGTCGGGCCGTACTGCCTGCTCTGCCATGATATCCATCACCCCCCATCTTTGAAGGAGCTTGCTGGAGTTTGGCGGGATCTGGATGCCAGCGCCAACCTACAACTAGTGGTTAGATGGTCCAAGAGGCTTCAGTTGACATCGTATGGATGGGTTGCAGAAAAATCTACCTCTGATAATTGAGCGGCCTGTTCCAAGACGGTAACATGATGGCCACTCCTCGCTAGAGCAACTGCGGTTGCAAGCCCGCCAAGACCAGCTCCGACAATGAGGATATCAAGAGAAATCAACGTTGATGGGGTACTCTTTGATGTCTTCTCGTCCTTTGCGAAGTTCAGGCCTCGAAGAAAGTTGAGGCTATTGGAGGGATAAGACGTGGAAAGTGGCTTGCGATGACCAGCTCGCCCATTATGCTGTTGACTGTTCGACCCATCGCCGACGTGACCGTTTGTCCGTTCGTTCTCGTTCTGTGACTTGTGAGACCGAATAAATAGGTCCTGCGAGACAGGCTGAATTACTTTTGTAGCAGCGGGCATTTTGGAATAAGTTGAAATGGAGGGAATATGATATCGGAGGCTAGATAGAAAGATCGTCTACAACTTGAAGCTTTACCGTGTTACCTCATTGGGAGTTCGTGATCAAATCCTTGGTTCATATGAAAGAGGCCCTTCAATGTTTCGCGGCTACACGACCAGTTATCGAATGCATCCCGTGCCCATTGCCGTGGATTGAGCGTCGTGAACACCCTGGTAAACTTAGCCTTAACTCCCCGGATCCCCGCATTTCGCAACTCTCCCCCACAACCTCCGCGCCGTAGCGATGCCCTGTCGAGAGGCCGTCGGAATCGTCCCGCAAGTCGGACGTATTATCCTAAGGTCACTTTGGACGGCCTGCGACGTGTAATGCTTAGCGGGGAGATGTCACTATCCCCGATTCCATGCCATTATCAAGCGGCTTGTGTGACGGCAGTCATCACTACCAACAGTCGTAGCGCCTGCCGGGTGACGTGATATCGTGGTGACAAAAGCGAGGTGATATTCAGTTCATACATTGACAAAGCTTCCTGAAGTACTTTTACACTACCTTTACTCACGTTGTCTATTCGCCAAATCACCATAATGCCGGTATCGTGGCAGAGACTGATTCGATTTGTTGCAAGCGATGGGCGGATCCTCCGAGGAGAGCCCATCCTCCCTCATGATGGATTCGACCTGGGAAACACTACCGAGGAGACAAGTTTGAAGGCAAAAGTCATTGAAGGTTCTGACATCTACGATACCTCCGGGAAGACCAAAGTCACCGATGAGATTGTTGTGGTGAAGAAGCTTCTCGGCCCCCTAGCGCAAGAGGATGTGCCTATTCTCCGATGTGTAGGGCTGAACTATGCAACGCACAGTAAGTCAGACGCACTGCATGATAACTTGGATACTAACCACGTTCTCAGTTAGAGAGGCCGGCCGCAAGCCACCCCCGTTTCCCTTCATCTTTTTCAAACCTAACACAACTGTTCTGGACCATGACGCAGATGTGATCATTCCCAAGATCTGCCAGGATGACCAGGCCGACTACGAAGGCGAGTTATGTCTTGTCATCGGTAAAGATGCCAAGGATGTATCTGTGACAGATGCGCTGGACTATGTTGCTGCGTATACTTGTGGCAACGACATCTCATCAAGAAAGCTCCAGCGCGATGCTGCATTTGCAGGAAACGTGCCGCAGTGGGGTTTCTCCAAGGGATTCGACACATTTGCACCTTTGGGACCTTGTCTCGTACGACCTGACTTTGTTGGGGATCCTAAATCGCTTCACCTTGAGACAAAGGTTGACGGAGAAGTGAGGCAAACAGAGGGTGTCGATGATCTTCTCTTTGACTGTGCTTACATCATTTCCTATCTATCCTCTGGTACTACACTGCAGAAGGGCTCGGTTATCATGACGGGTACCCCAGGAGGTAAGAACTCTGCATGTAGTCGATCGTCGTTCCTTGTAACTGACTCGAGGGCCTCAACAGGTGTTGGCGCGGGCTTCAAACCCCCGAAATGGCTTACGCCTGGAAACAAGATGGAAGTCACCATCACCAATATTGGGACGCTAAAGAACGGTGTCAAGTTTGCATAGATTTCGCAAGATGTAGTTTGGAAATGGGCCCATCGAGAGCGGGGAGGCAGGATGAGTTGCTAGTTAGACTCGATGCCGCTATCGATCAGAATGAGAGGCCTTCTTGTGTTCAGAGCAGGTAGTTCTGGACGTAAATTCAAGTCAACCAACCCCAAGCTAGGATATTTTCACACCATCGGTGCAGTATCGCGGTTCCACAAACAACAATGACCCGATCGACTCACGAAGTGAATAAGAATAAGCAATTTAAGCTCTCATTGACAATAAGTCACTTCCAAGTGGCCTGAATCCTGCACTAGTCGGGCTATTTCTTAGCGAGTGGCGGGTAAAACTTAGCCTGTCAGCTCGCCCAGGCAGCTACTTTAGAGACGTTTCGCAGCATGAAGGATCAAACCGTGCTTGGGTGATCTACGCCAACTTGGGGTAGTGCTTATCACACAAATTCACACTTAGGCACCTCTTCGCGGCGGTGACAATACGAGCGTTTTCACGGGCTCTCGGGTGTAAAAAAGGGAAGAGACCCCCCGGAACATGGAATTGTAACGAGGAGCTGAACAGATTGATCTCGGTACACCGATAAGCTTGCAGGACAGCACCAAGACGCCCACAATTCGCATGCGTGACAGCGGCACAGCGGCAGGCGAATCTTCGTGATGGATTCAAGAGGGCAGGACGACGAGACGCGACAATTACGGCGAAAACCGGTCCCCTCGTACGTTCCGCCGCTTGGGTACGACGAGGCCCTGCTGCTCTCATCTGCCCATACCCACGTTTATGATTGGGATCAGGAGCCCGAGTCCACGGCACGCCCTTCCGACGAGCCGCGAAGCACGGAGATTGGGAGAGATCTGCCCTCCAAGTCGACCTTTGCGAGCGGTGAAACGGAATACGAGCTGGTGAAGACGTCGAGCGCCGAGAAGACGAGGAACAACATGAGACGGCCTCCGCGACGGCGATGGCAAATCCTGAAAGGGTGGTGGCCAGAGATTATATGGTGCTTGATCAGCGTTGTATGCATCATTGTTCTCGTCACGGTGCTGAGGTCGTACGATAATCAGCCACTGCCAAACTGGCCACTTGGTCTGACGCTCAACACCGTTGTTGCCTTCATCTCCACATTCTGTCGCACCTCTTTCGTTCTCCCAGTCGTCGAAAGTCTGTCGCAGTACAAATGGAACTGGTACAAGTCGCCGAGGCCATTGGGCGATTTTGCCGTCTTTGATGAAGCCAGCCGCGGGCCGTGGGGCAGCTTGAAGCTCCTGCTCAGGACGAAGGGCCGGTATGTGAATCCACCTCAAGCCAAGCAAGTGTGACTCAACAGCAGATATTGATGAGTCGAGATGATACAGGCTTGTTGGAATTCTATCAGCTGTCATCCTGGTGTCTGGGATTGCGACCTCAACGTTGACACAATCAGTTGTCACTTATCCTACTCGTCAAGTTGCTATTCCTGGAAATGAGACCGCACTCACACGAAGGAACAATGAATACTTCTGGGCCACTGCCAACGGCCCTGCTCGAAGTTGGTCTTCTTGCCCATATTGATAAATGAAACCTCAAAGTTGACCTTTTGGCAGGAGATATCATGTTCCCAATCAACCAGATTATTCCTCGAAGTCTATACACCCCACCTACCGAGGTGATGTCATACTATCAAGCTAGCTGCCGATCGAATAACTGCACCTGGGACGATTTTACCTCACTTGCTGTATGCGTAGACATGAAGAGTAGGATAATCGTCACATTAGTTTCTCCCTTGTTCATACAACTGATTTCTTCCAGATGTCACAGACCTTCTCAAGACTGATGGCGACCCTATCGAAATGGGCACGAACTCCACGCTTCCCAACGGCTTGAGGTTGCAAAGAAGCTATGGGTATGGCAATTTGAACATCTCCAGCGGCCCGAGTCTATCGTTCAACGGCACCGACGCCATGGGAGCCAAGATCTGGAACTTTTTCGTGATATACGGTCCCCGGTTACGAGCCACTGAGATCATGCTGCACTGGTGTGTGAACACATACAGGGTCACGGTACAGGACAACCTTCCCGTCACACAAAAGGTCGCTTCCTATACGAATCCACAGACGGGAGAGGTGTTTGTGGAGACTTACAACATGACCAGTAACGCGACGTACTTGACATCACCAGATAACCCGGGCAAGAAGTATGTGGCCGACGGGATGGGCCCTGCCGAGATTGCTGACATTCTCGACTCTACTCTATCGGGAACCTATATTGATGGCGGCACATACATGTTCCAGAACGGGACTCAAATCTATGGGACAGCCTTATCGCGAGCTGCAATCGGTATCAATGAGACAACCGAGTCTCAGAAGCTTGATGATGCCCTGTTCACGACGCTTCGCAACCTTACCGAGAACATTGCCAGTGGTCTCACGAATGCGTAAGTCCTCGAGGAATCTTGCGTTTCTTCTAGTGTACATGAAGACGAACTAACGCCGTGAAGTCTCTTGATCAGCAACGTCAGCGGGACTGCGTGGCAGGAGGAGAGATTCGTCTCTATCCGGTGGCCATGGTTGACGCTATTGGCGGCTCAGGTCGGGCTCTCGATCCTGACCTTGGCCATCATCATGGTGGAGACTGCCAGTCTAGACATTGGGATTGTCAAGGGCTCGCCCCTCCCGGCACTTCTGGCAGTGCACCCAGATGAGAAGAGTGTGCTGCTAGGAGACCATGTCGAGGAAATGCTCAATGAGGATAGCAGGCTACCGCACCTGAGGGCGTCAGGTATTACCGGAGGGCTGCGTAGAGAAGGAGATGGTTGGATTCTTCAGGGCATCAAAAGACGTTGAACATGGCTTGATAATGCGGATATATAGAAACACACTCTTACTGATCATTCTACCTTATATTTTGACAATGTACAGCTCTCGGTGCCCCTTATCTATATGCTGCAGGCCAGAGTCCTCGTTCGTCACGCCCATATTCTTTTAATATCTCAATCTGCGGCTGAGATCAAGATGCCTACCCCTTAAAGAGTCTTCGAGAGCCTTTGGGATTCATATTCACACCAGCATCATCGCAGTTATCTCCGCCTCGGACAACAACATTCCAACTATCCTTGTGAAAAGCCTGACCGCTGACAGTCATTCCTTGCCCTTGATTGGCGTTCAGCTTGTCCTTGCACTTTGACAAGACACGCTGAGCGCCGTCGGCAATGTCGCCAAACGAATCGATCTTCTTGGAGCTTTTGGCCTGCACGGAACAAACGTATTAGCCACTCCATCATGCTAGGCCAACACCAACAAGGTCCTCAATGGAGGTGGGAAGCAAAGATACGCACATCATTGCACCACCAGATAGCGGTGCCATTCCGACAACTAACCCGTCCGCAATTCGCAGGCCCGGCCCCGTTCTCAGGCTTCCCCTGAACCGTCCTCAGTTCATCGATACTGACATGTGCAGCCGTTCTATTGCCTTCCCTGAAGTTGTGGCACAGCGTCTGGTCTTTATCCTCAAAGGTGGCCCGCTTCCCGATGGCGGGCATGGCAATCTTGCCAAATTGGTCGTCAATGTCAAAGCTCGGGTGCATGTCGCGCATCTGGGTTGCCACTTCTTCGACCGTGCCTCGGAGGGAAAGCATTTCGCCGTTGCCGTCGGGGGAGGGTATCTCCCATCGTGGGATGAAGATGCCATAGCCCGGGATTGGCGCGCCGGGGCTTGGGGCATCTTGGCCAAAGGCCCATGCCTATCGAGAGAGTTTAAGTCTTTGTATTCCAGACGCACGCACACTGAGACATACCACAGTGACCAAGATAGCCCACGAGAACGAGATGGACAGTGAGATTAACATGATGTGTGCGATGAAGTTGAATAGGAGTAGACAGACCTGATTGAGTTGGACAGCCTGGCACGGGGCTCATCTTTTGAAGTTAGGAGTATCAAACCTGTTGTTTCGAAGAGGGGTGGCGTCAAGACCAGGGGCTGGTTGATGCTCACGCCGTCTTGAATATCCGAAAGATACCATCAGACGAAGTTAAACTAGACAACCATCAATGCTTTGCCAAACCGCCGCATTCTAGGTAGCCCAAAAAGATCCCGCAGATCACCTCTATGGACGACTTGGCGTCTCTTAAAGTGCGAGATTGCTTCGCTACGTAACATCCAAGCCAGAAACGTGTTGCCTGCCAGATTGGTACTTATCTAATTGATCTCGAAACTAACCAACACAACCCACTTAACATATCTTGGTTAACTAGAACGGCAAGTAGGAGAGCTGGAAATCTAGGTCTACGGTTCATGGATGGCAAGGCTACAATCCATGGAACCATCACGGGAGAATACAAGACCTAACGAATTTGGACGGCGGAATACAACCCGACGAAACGAGAAACATAATCAATGTAGCCATTCCTTTATTGATGAAGCGCCGACAACGAAACCGAACCCTGCCGTCCGATTAGACTCAAAGTTGCCGTTTCATCTCCCCAGAGAGCAGTGCAGCGATGCCCATGTACCAAAGTTCTCAAAGCCGCAGCCACCACGAAAGCCAAAATCGGCGAAAGGGTATCGTCCAATACCAATGCGCCACATATACGTGAGCTTACTGTACTAATTGGTATTGATACGCATGCGGTGCAATCGCTGGTATCGACGAGCTGGCTGGCCGTCGTATGGCTATCACACGTAAATGTGTCGTGACATCGAACGCAGTCGAATCACGCCGCATAAGATAGTTATCATACAGGTGGCATAGGCTGCCTTACCTCAATTGATCTGGAGCAAAGGCAACCGGCGAAGCAGCCAGTAAGATAGGTACAAGTAATCTCATCTCATCAGGTTGACAAAGAAAAGGCTAGCTATATATGACAGTGACACGAAAGAAAAGGCTATTCTAGTACAGTAGAATCGTAGTATCTAGGACAACGGCTGTTGCCGTTCGTAGGCTAAAGCAGAAGTACCACGGCCGGATGCAAAGGAACCGGGTAAAAAGGGGGTATCGGAATGTCGCGGAACTCATTTGTAATGTAGGTGCGCGCGCTCATCATGCATATGCTCGTCGTGAAAAAACCAATTCATCATCAATAATGGAAAAAGGGGAGAGACCATCCGCGCGCCTCTCATAGGTCGCTCACGAACCCCTCAACTGTCTCGTCGACGGTCGCCAATCCGCCCGTGGTAGTGCCGTAGCCCCTCTCCTTCTTCTTCCCCTTTTTTGGTAGTAGCGGCGTCTGGTTCGTCGTAGATGTTGTTGTCCTCTGCCGGTCTTCGCTGTACCACTGGAACACGGCACACAGGAAGCCAATGAAGAAGAGGAACCTAAAACAAAAGTCAATCCGTTAGTCAATCATGTAAGTTTTGGTGTTGAGTCAAGCCAAGCCCGAAGCTACATGTAGGTATCCCTTTCCTCCCAACGGACTGATCCGGACCAGAGATATTGTCGTAAAGAGACACGTGATGGACTAAGAAAATGACAGAAAAAAAGAAAAAAAAAGAGAGGAAAAAAAAGAAAGGGAACGAGTTACTCACCACATCTTGACAGCCAACCCGACGACGACCCGCACCCCCTTCTTCTCCAACCTGTCGCCGTTCTCCCCTTGCCCCTCCTCAACACCACTCACACCAGCGCACACTACGACGGCGCAAAATGTGGCCAGCACAAGACCGGCCGCCTGGAACCCCAAATCCCCAAGCCTGTTCAGACAGCCGACCCCGCGTAGCAGGGCCGCCGAGAGGGAGACGCTGAGGAGGATCATCAGGGCCGGCGACGCGAACTGGGACAACCTGCGGGTGCCGTCATCGTTAGCTATGCCTGATTTGTTTGTATGACACGAGATCAAGACTCCATCGAGATCCACCCTCCCTGGGTGGTAGGTACTTGATGGAGTTGGTGCTTCGTGGAGAGAAACGGACGGAGGCAAAAACAATAGGGGAAAAACTCACCAGTTCCAAATCGCAAAATCACCGCCGGCGTTGTAGACCATGTAAATAATCCAGCCCTCAACACCGCCAACGACACACAACTCCAACCCCATCAAAATCCACCACGCAACAGCCTCCAATCCACCTCGGGCAGTCATCGCACCGTTCTCCCCCTCACTCGACCTTGAGCTCGAACTCCCCGCGCTGCCCCGACGTCCCCGTCCCGAGGAACGGTTTTGGTGGTGGTGGTGGTGGTAATGGCCTAGATTCCCCAACATCCTCTTCCCCTCCCCTGCTGCTGCTGCTGCTGCTGCTGCTGCTTCTCTTGCACCTAGACCCGCCTGCGCTTCAACGTCATACTCGACGACCGTGACCAGCGGGTGGTGATGATGTTTCCACGCCGCCTTTTCGTCTCGTTGCTGTTGATGTTGATGCTGATGCTGCTTTGGCACGCGCTGCTGCTGTAAATGTTGCCGTAGCTGCTGTTGCGGACTTCCTGCCCTAGTGACGATGGCCATCAAGGCGAGGCGAGATGCGGCTTCCATCGGGATCGGTATCGCGACCGTGGATGTGTATGCGGATATGGGCGTAGACGTGGGCTGACGAGCTCAATCCGGTTCGATTGTGCCGAGGTTAATAACGTACGAGTACGCAGTGTAGACATGCGAATTGCCCGGCGTTTCTGTCTTCCCTGTAGATTTGGAGTTTTTTTTTGGAGTAGTTGTCGGGAGTTTGGTAGAAGAGTGTACTCGATAATATACCTACTCAGTAGGGAGTTTGCGTAGAGTCGACGACGAGTGAATGATTGCAACAAAAAGTAGAAGCAAAATGAGAACCAGGCGAAAAGAATACGTGTAAGAAACTCATTTCAAGAAAGTTGGGTAATGAAGAAAGAAAGAACCTTGAATTGGGTGTGGACAAACCAAGGAACAACACGTTGACAAATTCCACCCCCAAGAAACTTTAGGCATCACGGAATTATGTGAGTGAACCCCTTAATTAGATACTTGGTATCATTGGGCTGTGTATCCCTTTTTTCTTTTGTGTTTTTCAGCTGGCTCGGCTCCCGACTCTCACACAAGTCTCTCACACACAAGTCTACTTAGCTAGAAGTGCCTAGGTAGAGGACCAGTATCTCTCCCTGACAAAAAGGGTTTGTGTGTCTCCCTTTCTTCCGACATGCGACGGACCACCTGACCCCGTCACCATTCCCGTCCGCGTCGCACCTGAGCCATCCATCTCACATCATCCATCCACCCCCCGTGCCGTGCCCCCTCAGCCCTCTTCCCCTTCATCCCTACTTACCTATTCATTGCCTACCTCTCACAATACTCTTACCTTTTTTATTTCTGCCCTGCCCTCCACCCAAGGCCTAGACCTCCCACCAGTCAGGTACCAGGCAAGTTGCCCTTCTCGGACCCCCCGCAGCAAAGGCCCGTTACCCCGGACCCGCAAGACCCCGTGTCTCGATGCCCAGCTCGTCTGCGCACCACTCATAGTCGTCCGCCCTCTCTGGACTCTTCTCGTTCCCGCCAGTCCAGCCGACACTCACGCATATCAACCTATCCAGTGACCACTGGCCAGTACGGAATACCATCCAAAGGCAGAGTGGTGGACAAAACACATAGCACACACATAACACACACTTCATCACGCATATTTGTGGTCACACCCGCACGCAAGGTACCTTGCCCACAGGAAGCACATCCATCTGCCTTCCCACCAAACCACATGTCATAGCATAAAAGACACAGAGAGAGAGAGAGAGAGAGAGAGAGAGAGAGAGAGAGAGAGAGAGAGAGAGAGAGAGAGAGAGAGAGAGAGAGAGTGTGTGTGTGTGTGTGTGTGTGTGAGTGTGTGTGTGTGACTTGCTGCAGCCTGTGGCCTGCGGCCTGCCATGCCTGGTAGACTTGCAAACACACACAACACGTGCGTGTTTTCTGTCTCATTACCCCAAATCATACATCTAGTACCCTTCTTCCCTTGCCGAATCATGAATACTCTACAGCCGACAAACGCCGCGTCCATGCCCAACCCCCCAGTGCAGTGTGCTGTACCGTACCGAACCGCACCGTATAGTACCTGGCCGTCCCAATCAGGATTCAATAGCTACTAAGAGTCATTCGCAATTCTGAAGCCAACCCCTGGGACTTTGTCGCCCATTACTCCAAGCTCATTCTAGCCTCATCGCCGATTCCCCATTGCCCACCCTCCTTGCCCTGTAAAGCGAGGTTCAACTTGAGTCCCAGCGCCGCAGCTTCCTCCTCGCTCTTGGCCTCACTTGCCCTACGACTGCGGTCCTGCTCCTTGTCGGCTTTGCTGGCGACGCTCTTATCCGTCACTTTCCGTCGTAATGACGGCGCTTTGAAAAATGATCGTCCGCCCGAGCTCGTCGAGAGAGTGGAAGCTGTGTCGTCCTTTTCTCTTTCCAGGTCCTTATCTGATAGGGTCAGGTCTTGCGCGGATTGTGTAGGGGAAACCATCTTTTCTTCGAGCGTGCTGTACCTCTGCGTCGTCAAGGCGGGACCCGGGGGACCTGATGTGGGCGAGCCCGGCCGGGCAGAGCTCGGTGCTTGTGAGGCGTCCAGTTCGTGTGCCATTTCGTCCTCCGAAACCTCCACCAGCTCGGCGTCGCGGTACCACTTTCTCCGTCGTGTCCAACGTCCCCATCCGTCCGAGCCGCGGCGTCCGTTTTGCCACTGGGCGAAGTGTGTTAGTCACATCACATCACATACATGCTGGCACTCAGTTACAAAGAGTCAGAGGTCGCTCACCTTGTTGTCGTAGTAGATCCATCCATTCTTCCCAGGTTCCCCGTCATAGTCAATGGGTTCAATTCCGTCATCCGGAACCCCATCGACCCTCCATTTGCTCCCTTCAACCCACCGCCAGCGCATGTTGCTACCATCCTCAACTTCGGGCAACTCAAATGTGTCTCGTGACGGCACAGGGTTATTATGTTCATCAGTCCACGCCGACCGTTCGTAGGCAAACATGCTCTGCGTCCAGCCTAGGCCCACCCATCGCCGCTGATTCTCGTATATAATAAAGGTGAACTTGACACCCGCGTCCTTGCTCGTGGCATTGTTGCCATGTCTGTGGGACTGCTTGCGCAGCGCCTTGGTCAACTCCGATGTTGCCGGCTTCGCCTGCACTTTGCCATTCTCTGCCGCGGTGATCTGGACAGGAACAGCCTTGACAGGCTTTTCAAATGTTAAGCCTGTGACCAAGGCCGCCGTCCTCCGGATTGTGGCACTCCGCCATAAGAGCGTCCGGGCGACTCGCAGGAACCTAGCATGCCATGTCAGCACCAGGGTGCCGAAGAGCAGAGCCACTCTTCGAGTCGTGATGATGCGTAATGGTGGGAGCGTCAAGGCCATCCAGAAAGGCGTACAGAACAGTATCCGCACGAACAGCGTCGTCAAGGCTGGTCGTGTTGTGGCAGACGTAGGGGTTCGTTGAGTGCTCAGAAAGTCGGTCAATTCAAGGAGCGGCTCCAGCAAGAGATTACATCGCCCAGTAAACTCCTTCAATGTCTCTACAATCTCGTCCAGTGTCTTCTGGTGCCTCGTATTCGTCGCCTCTGATTCGCCTCGTTGATGCCCCTTTGTTGTGCTCGTGGTTGTGCTGCTCTTGGGTGTCGACTTCTGTGCTTTGCCCCCAGTTGTACCTCCTCCGGTGTTCTGCGCACCACCGGGGTCTTTGGAAGCCGGCTCTGTCCACCCACTGCTGCTCAGCGGACTGAAGCGCCTGCCATACATTCCCAGTATTAAGGTCAGGACAACGACAATCGGCCCCGCCATGCGCACAACAATGTCGCCATATAGGACGATGGCCCAGAAGGATGCCAGCAGAAGAAAGCTCTCCCACGGATCGTCGGTCGTCCATGTCAACAGCCCGGCAAGCTTATTGAGGGGCAGGAGAAAGGGATGCGAGTATGCTAATGCGCGGGTGATTTGCGGCGGCGTGGCTAGAAGGAGCGGAGACTTTTGGTGGACGATGATGGTGGACTGGCGGGAGGATCGGCTTGGAGTAGTTGCGGCGAGGGTAACGGGGGAGAAGGTCGCATAAGTGGGCGGCGCGCCGGAGGGTGTGCCGTCGAAACCGGAGCCCTGAGAAGGATCGTTTCCGGAGTCGGCATCGGCGCCGCGGTGGGCCTTTGGGGTCGACATGTGGACTAGCCAGGGCGTATCCTGCAGCGGGTGACGGAACGGTTAGCCTGGCTGTGGATTGGAAGAGTGGATGGATGCGTAAGGTAGGTAGGTGGCAGGATGCAGCTGTGGCAAGCCGCCCGTCAGTGAAGCCGGAGAGGGAATGAGGTGTGTAGACTGGATGCCATTTGGGGTGGAATGCGATGCGTGATGAAGGTGGATGGGAAAGGGGAGATGCGAGGCAGAGAGCAGAATGTATGGCCAGATAGGGCAGACGAGCGGAAAAGGTTATGACGTGGCTGATGCGTTGAAGGATGCCAAAGCGCAAGTGGCAGCTGAGCAGAAAGGCAGAGACAGAGACAGAGAGAGTGAGAGAGACAAGAGGCAACCGGGGTAGCTCCGTGACGGGCGTGACAGTGTCTCTCTTTTCAGTCTTGTCTGTGTGCCATCTGCTGCCAGCAGCTGTCCCGAGCTCAGCTCTGCTCAGCTCAGCTCTGCTCTGCTCTGCTCTGCTTAGCTTTACTGCCCGTGAACAAGGCCAGATAGTCAGGTCGGGAGGCAGACATTCAAACATGCCGCCTCCGTTTCTCTGTCACTCTTTTCGGCCACGGCGGAACAGGGCGGAGCCGGGTGCGCTCCAAGGTCTGGGTATCCGCAGGCTGCTCCGTAATGACGAACAGACTACAGGGCAAGGATGTGGTGGGCGAGGGTCGGGGGTGGGGGTGATTCGGGGAGGGTCTCTTTTTCTCACAAAGGCAGCCATCAATGTCCGTGGTCCTCCACTGCTTCCGCAGACTTTCGGGGCCGCTGCGGCTTCTGCGCGTTGTTCTTGTCGTCGTCGTCGTCGTCGTCGTTGTCGTCGTGCTCGATGCTTAGGGATTGCCCGCGTTGACTCGGATCAAGAGTTGGTGGTTCGTGGGAATTGCCAGCGAAAGGGCACAGCGGTAGTTGTCGCAGGATGATTGAAGAAGAGGATTAGAGGAACGGAGGGAGCGAGGCTTTCCGCAATGGCATGCGCATGTCCTCCACAGGCCAAATTCGATCGCAATTGTCTGACTCTGTGGATGGCAACGTCATCGGTTTGGGTCGCAGGCGGGCAGTCGTAGACTCGTGAGGTAAGGTAAAGTAAGGTAGTTGGGTAGTCGAGGATCAGGTCGTCGCAGTGGCTCGCTGGTCGCACTTTAAACTGTCCGTCGCGGCATCGGCATCGGACTGCCTGGATCTTGTCCGGCTTCTCTTTCTTCAACTCGAGGTAGAGATTTGAGTTCTGGACAGCACTTGGTTGATCCTGTTGATTTGCAGGTAGGAGATGAAATAGAGGACGAGGTACGAGCAAGCTATGTGGAATGGGAGGGACGACAAAGAGAAGATAATCGGAAAATGGAATGGATCAAGCTCGGCAAAGTTGCAGTTGAGCGCTGAAGAAATGCGACGAGACGAGACTGAGGTGAGGTGCGCTGCTGCACCCAGCTGGGAGCTGCTGAGGTACCTACCTAAGGTACCTACCTACCTGCCTGAAGTCGGTAAGGTGCCACTGGTCATCGGTCCACGTGCCTGCCGATATTTGGGGTACGTAGCACGTACCTAGTACAGCTTCGGCTGGTGCTCACGCTCTCACTCCATCCAATCTCACCCAACCTCTCACCTCTCACATCTCACTGAAGCTCAAGCTCTGTCTCTCTCTCTCTCTCTCTCTCTCACTTCAACCCCGGCAATCACATGCAAATTCACAACCTACCTAGACCCCCAAAGCTCCCCATACCTCCATCCATTCATCCCCGGGTATTAACTCAAGGGAAGCAAGCTGCTGACTGATCGATCCACTATTCACCCCAGCTGCAATTCATCGACCATGAGCACGGATGATGGATCCCAGTGCAAGACTCAAGTCCGTATGACAAATGGCCGATGCTCAACCTCCTGGCTAAGCTACGGATCAATATCCTCATCTCACTGCCACCATCTTCACATACAATATTCAATAAAAGTCTCTTTCGTGACACATTCTCAACAATATGATATTGATTTGTGCTGTGCTACAAATTCAATCAGGCATGCACCTGATAGCACTCAACTAACACCACATCTCCATGTTGATAGCAATGGAAAGCTCTCATAACTAACAATCCCCATGTTTTCCTTGTGCTTAAACTCCCAAATCACTATATCGAGCGATTGAACCGCATCGCTCCTCCCCCTCGGGATATCCCATGTCTCTTGCGAAAGCCAGTCTAATAACCGATGACCGAGTCCATACTGGGATTCGCGATCAAAGGTGAAAAGGAAAAAAGAAAAGGAAAATGAAAAAGCCAACCGCCTTGACGCCGTTTAGTCATTCATACACCACAGTACCCTCGAATCTCTCACCGCACCGTGGCATCCCATATCAATACAGGTGCTGCATGTCCGGGTTCTTTCCCGAAAGCCATTTGTAGAACTTGGTCGCTTGCAGCTTGGCTCCGCGTTGGCTGCCTGTCAACGAGTTGGCCTCAAACACCAGCTTCTGCTCCGCCTTCTCGCTATTCTCCGTCTTGAGCTCCAGCTGTACTGTCGTTCCCGCCATCTTTGCCGCCTTGACTAGGCTAGCATCCACCACGGCTTCCATGCCGTCTTCTTCCTTGCTTCGCATGATACTGCTCGATTCGTCCTCGGCGTGGAAGCGCAGGAATTTTCCTGGCTGCGCCCAGTGCTGACTGCCCTGGTGAAACTCTGACACATCGATAAAGTTTTCGACGTCTTTCCTGCCTCCCAGAGCAGGAGATGCCGCCGCACTTCGGTCGATGAGAGGCGATTGGAGCGCCGCAGGCGTGACTCGAGGTGACTCGGATGCCCGGACTGCACGCCACTGCTCACTGTTGACCAAGCTGGCGTGCGTCAACACCTTGGGAGTGCTACTACCCGAAGCAGTACCGTTGCTCGTGCTGATCACCACCGTCTGCTTGATCGCCCCTCGCTCCTGGTCATCATGAGCACTGCTGCTGCTCATGCTCGCGATGCTCATGCGGGGATCAGACCGGCGAGCAGCGCTCTCGCCGCTGGCGGCGCTAGCACTCCGCGGAGGCTGAGGAAACGGGCTGTTCAACGCTGGCGACGCTGCCTCTTTGATACTCTTGGTGGATAGTGCAGGCGAAGGCTGCTGGCTAGCCCTTGTCATCTGATCGACATGAATACCCTGACTAGGCTTCTGAGGCAATGGATGTCGGAGTGGCGCTGGCTCAATAACGCCTGGGGACGGCTTGGATGGTAGAGGCCGACGGACTGCGCTCTCGGAGTCGGCTGTGTCGTTTACCAGGTCTGCAATTTGCAGCTTGGGGCTTACACGGGGAACCTCCTTGTCTAGGCTTGGTGATTTGGTAGCAGCCTTCATCGCGCTCTGGGCCAAACTTGCCATTGATACTTGGTCCACCTGAGACTGCTTCTCGCTGTCTTGCCGGAGTTTTGTAGCTTCTACCGCCGCGTGCGCACCATCTTCGGCATTTTGTCTCTGAGACGCCTTACTTACGGCAGTTTCAGTATGCGCAGACCGGCCAGTTGCCGAAACAACCGTCGCCTGGCTCGAACCTGGTGATGCGGTGCTCTTAAGCGCGCTGCCATCAGTTTGAGGAGCGGGATTGGGAACTGGAGTTGGCCCATTTACAGCGATCTCTGCAGATGTTGGCTGAGGTGTCGCGGGGGTTCCAAGAGCGACTGTAACGGGTCCTCCATTGGTGTTCGTGGGGACGGGCGTCGCCTTCTCCTTACTGTCGGCTCGATCCTTGGACGGCGTTACTTGGATAGCATCGTCCATTGCCACATCCTCCCTATCTACTGCTGCCTTGTCTTTCTTGGCTGACAGACGAGTGCCCGCAGCAGCTCCAGATCTCCCCGTCATCCAACTGCTCTCACTCAACCGCGACGCAGGCCGCACCTCTTGAGTGCTGCGCCTGAGAGGCTGCTGAGGTGTAGTTGGGCCTTCGTCGATATCCGCCATGTCGTCATCTGAATCCTGGCCATTTCGGCGCTTCGGCTCCACGTAATCTTCGTCATCCGAATCGTCAGCTGGAGGAGGATTGTCGCCAAAGTCGTACATATCCACATCGGGTACGGGATCCGAGTCCGATGCCGAAGCAAATGATGGCAGCTTCGCGGGAATTGTCGCCGTCGTCGCCGTCTCTGTCGTCGACTCTACTTCTGCGCCGGCCGGTGGTTGCCTTGCCTGCACATGAGCCAGCATGGCCTCGAATGAGTCGTACCCACGGATCTCAGCATACTTCTTTCTCGCGTTGTTGGCCGGGTCCAAGGGATCAGCAGATCGGTCAGGGTCGTCAAGGAGCAAAGGCTTCAGAATGAACTTGACGCCAAGCCAACCCAGTCTAGTGTTGCCATTCTTTTCAAACCACAAAACGGGAACGTCCCTATCCAACTCACGCGGCTCGCCATCTCCGTAGCCAGGCGCCCAACCCCCAATGCCTTCGTCATTGTACGTATAGCAAGTAGGCCTGATCTTCCTGTCGCAAAGCTGTGTGTCGCTGAGCCAGCCATCCCATCCGCACATCTTCAGAGATGTCCAGCCCAGTATCATGACAATGTAGAGCTTGTTGCTCCTCGGCCATTTTGCATGGTAAATGTCACCTGGAATTGGATTCATAATGTGATCCCCACCACGTTGCTGTTTCTCTTCCTGTGATCTCGAGTCCAACTTCGTTTGGTAAGATCCCACGCTGTTATGAGGTGCTTGGAATGATGAATCGGAAACAGACGGGTCCCTGACTGGAGCCATCGTGTGAGCGGCCGACTGTCTTTTACCACCGGACTTCGGACCGTGCAGCTGGTTCAGGGGCTTGTATCCATTTTCGAAAGCAAGACGGACGCATTCGTTGTTCATTGCAGCAAGCTCCTCCGTACAATCAACGACATGAAATCCAATGGTTTCAACCGCCAACTTGTGCTCCTTCTTCTGATGACCGTGCGAGGCGCCGTGGAGGTGCTTGGCTGCCGCAGCCAGTGCATTCTGCTTGAAATGCACGCCATGCTCGTCGCATCGCAGAATATAGAAAACGTCCTCGAATTTGACGATGTTGTGCTTGTATTCTGCTTTACCGTCCTGGTAAACTTCAGCAAATGTGATCGTCCTGGGAGCTATCGACTGTGGCGTATCAGTTCTTGCGCGCTTCGGATCTGCATCTCTAGATGACATGTCGCTAGCATCCGACTTCCTCTTAGCCATCTTATGGCGGTCAGAGTGGGAGTCTACAGACTGTCTCAGCCCATCTTCCGCTCTTAACATGGCGCCTTGCCCAAAGTTTCTACCATCACCCGCCTGTAGTCTGTCCACACGGGAGCCCATGGGTCCAGCATTCATGGGCGGCAGAGGTACCCGGTTGCTACGGTCAGCTAGGTTGGGCTGAGTGCCGCTGACAGGCTGTCCAGACCCGGCTCTCGGAGGGCCATAATGATTGCTACCCAACGTAGGAATATGGGGTTGCGAAGGAAGCACTCGAGGCGCCCCATTTGCCAGTGGGTTGTTCACCGGTCGATTCGGGTGGTACAAGGCTGAAGTACGAGGCGAAACCTGTTGCTGGCCAGGTTGGTTGTGGTGAATCCAGGTCTGTCCTTGGGTTGGGTGGCCCTGGCTAACCTGCTGTGGTTGGCGAATTTGATGGTCAAGTTGAGACGGCATCGGAGCCGAGCTGCCGTGCCCAGGCATTCCATTTGTTGGCCGCTGCTGAACGGGTTGATTTGGCACCATGGGGCCTTGTGGCAAAGGCTGACGTGCCTGCTGAGGAGGTGTGCTCATTGGCATGGTTGAGGGTGAGCCGCGCCCAGCTGGACCAACGCGTGCGCTGACAATCTGGGCCGACGGATTTGTTGGCGTACGTCCCAGTATGCCAGCGTTTGGAGGGTAACCGGCGTTGCGTACCGAGTTGTTGCCGGGCACGGGGAACCCCATGTGATGTTCCCGAAGAGCATCCGCTTCGCGTCTCGCGCGGTCCTTCTCCTCGGCATCACGCCGTTGCTGGCAGGCGGCATACCGATGGGACCGTAGTTCGTGCTGGTACTTTTGAAGAAGCTCGCGAGCTTTCTGTGGCAGATTTAACGTGTCGGCGAAGCGGGCCTCATCATCGAGATCGTGACAGGCGTCACGCTGCTGCTGGGTGAATTTGGCATTTACGTTCTCCTTTTCAGCCTCGAAGCGGGCCTTCAGGGCTTCGAACTCTGCAAACCAACGTCTGCGATCTTGGTCTAGATCTGTTTGACTATTTTGCGACATGGTCGCCGTGGAAGATGAGATACTCGCCATGAGGACGAGATTAGGTTTGCTGTCCGAGGATAAATGTCTGTCTCGTCCACTCGGCAGAGGTTTTAATCAAAGTCTCTGCTGATAGTAAGTTGACTGACTGACTCAGTTTGGACGACCCATGCCCAAGTCTCAGCCAGTGGAGGAACCTATTTCAAACATGGCATTAGATACTGCATTCCAAGATATCTCAACCCTGCGGGTCGATGGGTTTACGCAAAATGAAGGCACATCGGTGATGTCTGTACCTCTATGTGATTAGGGCCAGATGAAGTAGAACCCACTCAATGACCACTGTCAAGTAGTCTACCCACAGAGTTTTCCTACGCGATTCGTAATCCGCGGAAGGAAGGACGAATAATGTCGACGACTAGTCAGTTAGCCGACGTGGAATGCTTGACTAGAGCTCGCAGACAGATGCGATGTCCTTTGCAACGGCAGCAAGGAGGCGATCCGTAGAGCAGTAGGCCGCAGAGCAGAGGGTCCGGGCGATGAGACTCGACGTCTCTTAGACAAAGGGAAGCGTGAGATGAAGAGTCGATGAAGGGCAAAGAGGAAAAGGGCGATGGGGCCTCGCTCGGTGTGTAGTCGTCTAGGACAAAGTGAGGACGGCCAAGATGAAAGGGACTTTGGCGTTGGTAGGCAGGCAGGCAGCGTACTAAGGTAGGTAGGCAGGTGCGGCGGTGGTAGCGAGAAGTCCTGTCGTAGGTGGAGTTGTGTAGGTGGCAAGTCAACGACGTCTGCCTATTAGGATCTCTTGTAGTTCGTACGGATACCTGCTCGGTCCCGGTTAGGATAAGTTGCCAGGCAGAAATAGAGTGAAAATGAATCAGATCAAGATCCCAGATGCAGAGATGCGGGACCCCTCGTCTATCGGTATGGTGGTGATCGAAAATAGAATGGGGAGATGTCAAGGGCGCCAGTACTTGCCACTTGGAGAGGTGAAGTTGTTCGGACCGGGGGGTGTGGGAAGGTGCGGAGTTTGGGTGTGTGGGAGGTGAAAAAAGATGAAAGAAATGGGGGGCGCGAGGTCGGTAAGAGGGCGGTAGAAGGATGGCAAACAACAAAGCGTAAGAAGGAAGATGCAAACAGCGAGTGATTGTGAGGGTGAGTGTGAAGATGACCAACGACGACCGGTGATGGATGAGCCCGGATGATGAATCAGGGACGAATATGTTGGGTAAAACGGGTAAAGGTAGAGGTAGGGAAAAGGAAAAAAGGTACCTTAAGGTGAGGTAAGGTAAGGTAAGGTGAGGTAAAGTATGGGAAGGTATGGAAGGGCAAGGAGTGGAAAGAAAGGAAAGAGGGAAATTAGTCCATTGTTTCGGGAAAGAGCAAATGCTGTTGGTCCTGCCAATGAATGGCATTACTACTACATAATAACCGCCAGCTAAGATAGAATGGCAGGCGCGCCTCTGCCGCCCGTTACTTCCTCTCGAGTCTTCCCATGCCATCATAGACAAGGTGAGGAAGGACCAACCAGACCGGGGAGTAAAGGTAAGGTAGGTAAGGGAGGGACCGTAAGGTAAAGTGAGGTAAAGAAAGAGCCTACCATACCTTACTGGGTAGATACCCGGTAAGGCAAAGTAAAGCAATGGGAAACGCTCAATGCCAAGTACGTACCTGATTTGCTTGCTATTCTACTGATATCTGAGGTATCGGCAATCGGTCAGAGCCCGTACAAAGTGAACATAAGAAGAAGAAAAAAACAGATCCTACTATCCGTACAAGAAGAGAAGTGTCCAATTATCCCTACGAATGGATACTCAGAGGGGGGAGGGGGGGGAACGGGTGTACGGTGTCTAAGTACGAGTGTGTAGCAAGACAAGTGGAATGAGGATGGGCCGAGAAGAATGATGAATACTTTTAAGAGGGAAAAAAGCAAGACCAGGGCATACAGTGTGTAAGTATCCGTATCCGTAGGCAAAGTGCTCATTTGGTGGCTACTTGTACCAGACCAAGCTAGACTAGAGACAGCTGGGGTACGTCTGACTGGGCTAGAGTGTGCATGAGTGGTGAGATAATCTGAGAGAGTGTGTGTGAGGTGTGTTGTGTGTCGAGCACATGCAAGCTGTTCCTGGGGGGAGGGGCTTTTTTTTTTTTTTTTTGGGGGTTATCAGCGCCTACTTTACGCCGTACGGATACCTCTTACGGATACAGGAAATTGATTTATTGCCTTTCTCTCTTTTTTTTTCCCCCCTGTGGCTCCTCCGCTTGCCTTTACGGAAAGAGAGACATTGCTCTCTCGGACCCGGCTGGGATTGGACGACCTTACCTTACGGCCAAGCGTCTGGAGGAATCGGTACGTATCTGCTAAGTACTTAGCCCTTTTCACCTCACCTTTGAGTAAGGTACCTTAGGTGGGTAGGTTTGCTGACACAAGGTACTGGGGTACGTATACTTCTCCATGGCTGACCACGTATCTTAAGTCCGCGCATCTCTCTCACTTGGGCTCTCATTCTCACTCTCACTTTAGGTACTTCGTACCTTGTCATTGGTCTCACTCTCACTCACCCTCCGCCTGTCTATCTCTCAAACACTATTCTCTTCTCGCACTCTGATTACCTGAATCTCACGCAATGGAGCCATCCGCCGCTGCCCACCACTCATCGGAAAACCTATTCAGAAATGGACGTAGCGTTCCGAAGGGTGGGTACCCCCGTCAAAGAAGCTCCAGAGGTACATGCTTCACAGGCTCCCGCTCACTCATTAACGTACGAAGTATGGACGGTAAGGCGTGCCAATCCATCCCTCCTCAACCGCGTATCCGTTATAATACCTTAACATACGAAGTACGGAGCCCTCGTACGCCCATACCTAGCCTTAGCTACAGTGTTCCTATTACACTCGTGGCACGGTAGGCTGAATCCGTACCTAAGCTCCCCTTCAGCTCGGCGCCACGCCCACTCATTCCCAACCAAGCCTGCTTCTCCAAGAAATCCACACATTCATTCACTGATGATTCAACTTCCAATGAGTCCCAACTCATACCAGACCATCCCATCTCAAAAGTATTTGACCGTGGTCGTAGCCTTCGACTGGTAGTGTATTGGACGTATCCTACTAGCCGAACATGTCCTCGCCATTGGGTATCTCGTCGCATTAGGGACCTCCTCAGCGAGGGCCCCCCCAAAACACGCCAATTCGCCGCTCTCAAACGCCGTCGGGCTCATACTTCCATGTTCCACCCCCGACTCCCGAGTCCTTGATGATTATCTCCGGCCCCGTTCATTTTTCTCGCTCTCGTGAAGACAAGGCAGAAAAACTTTCAAGACACAAAAGATTGCCATTGATCCATCATCCCCGTGGCTCTACGAAGTACCTAGTCTCCCAGTCTCCCCCTTCTCATACTCATACACCAAGGGACCCACCGCCATCACCACACCATTGATCCCTTAAAGAGGGGGGAAAGCGAACCTGCTACTCGCCTCTCACTGCTCACTCGCTACAAGACTCATGGGTTCCATGGGCTCCAAGCAGGCGGGAGCAATCCGCACGGCATCTGATTTGCGCCAAATCCCCGTATCACCCTGCGCCCCGCGCCCCCGGCAGGCCATGGCCGCCATGCTCCCATGATTATGTAGCTGGTGTATTACGGATACTCCGCTGTCCGTACTTTACCAGCTTACCATTGACCATCACTGTCACCATTGACTATTCGTACCCTTGCCTTGCGGCTTGCCATGATACAATATGCCATGCCGCTATGAATGACCACCCCAGTCGCTCACTCGCACTGCTCAGTGCTTGCCTCCTCCTTATCTCATCTCACCTCACTTCACCTCATCTCATCACACGAGTGTGACAACGTACATCACCGCTGCCCTTAACCTAACCGGTCTTACGAGGAAGCCGAAGCCTCGGATCGATGCGCAAGTACCTCACTTATCTTCTTCCGACTCTTCTCAAACACCTTGGACTAAGAGATTGCATGGCAAAAGTCTGGGCATGACTCTCCCACCGGTCTGACAGAACATAATTCAGACTCAATCAGACTCTGACTGGCCAGTACTCCGTATCTCTGCGTACTCTACAGCCTAACTGGACCCGTGACTTGGCACCACTCGCAAGGCAGGGCACGGGTATATTGCGCCGTCATACAGTTCATAATAGCGTCTTTCATTGGTTCACCATTGAGCACTTTTGGTAATTTTCGCCCGGCGTCCCACGCGACTCATCACGGACCCCCTGCCAAACTATTACTTTTCTGGCGCATTTGCACTTCCACCAGGACATTGGATCAGCCTGTAAAGTCCGGGAGACGTTAGGTCGATCGGCATCGTGATCAGGGCCGTCGAACATTGGCTTGCTTGCACCTTGTTTCCCGCCCGCTTACAGCTTACCTTATTCCTCTGGGTCGTTCCCGAGATCCGCGTACCCTACTACAGAGCACACGTTTTCACCCTCGGCTTGTCTCTCACCTAGCCTCTAGGTACCTATATCACCATTGACCATGGTACGAAGTATTCGTACTGCACACGCACTGGGCGGTGGCACACATCCGACACCCGCCATCCACTCCCTCATCCATGTCGCAGTTCAGTTGAGAGTTGCGGATTCAAAATTCTTAGATGATGCCGCTATTCCAAGACGGACCATGATTCCGCGTAGCCCAACTCAAAACATGCCTTTTTATGATTTATCCCACTCGAAACCGCTCTCTCGCCGTGTCCGCGGCCCGCGTGGGATCTTGTCCGTGGATCCCATTACAACTTGAACCCCCCCCTTTCCCGAAAATGTATGCACGCACCATGACCACAAACCATGTGCTGCCGACTGCCGTACAGATCTATACCACGGAATCGTCGCCGTGCTTTTCCTTTCTACTGCTATCTTATCACAGTAGAGCGTAATTTGACTTTTGGGCTTTCTCTCTCCCCGTACGTACCGTCCGATAATCATTATGACTTCTTGCCCCCCCCCCCCCGTTCGCCGTCGATGCTGAGCCGAACACACATACAACATGGGCAAAATCAACTGATACTCGTTGACCCCTTCTTGGCGTCGCACTGAACGCGCACTCACCTCACATCACAGGCGCACTGGCGGCGCAAACGCCCAACCAACCAAACTAGCACACAATGCTTGCAATGCTTCTTGACGTTCTTACCGAATGAAGAAAGTATTTCCACAGTCCACCACCACTCAAAACCAATCTTCTGTGCACGCAGGCATCCTGTCAAACTGTCCAACTATCCATCATACGCCCGTAGTCCCGTTTGCTTGTTTTGTAAATTGTTAGCCCCTCTCAAACAGTAATTTGCTTGCGGTGCCCCATTCCCCGTCCTAATGATTACTTGCTGGTCCCTAAACTCCATACCCCGTTCCGCACAGTCATAAACTCTCTGTTGGCAGGTCATCACTTTAGCCTTTCCTTGCTCCTCAGCGCCGCCTCACGATACCGATACCTCCGTGCCTGGCTCGGTGTTCGCATCAAAACTCTGTGCAGCCCAGTGCAACTTCGTCCAGCTGAACCATATTGGTTCCTCGTTATCCGTCCTCTTGTCTATTTCTGTGACTCAATCCCAATCTGGTGCAACTCTAATATCTACTGCGGACGGTCAGTCCGATATACCCTTACGAGCCCGCCATTACTCATGCAACTAGGCGATAGAGCGTGCGCGCTGCGCAGTGTCTCTATTCAATGCAGCCAACGAGCGTTCGGTATTCGGAATCCGTATGGCCGTGGATGTCCTGTCAGACATCAAACTACAACAATCTGTGGCTATGGCTTGGATTTGCGTTCCTGAGACCTGTGTGAGCCGTGCATACCGAGATACGTGTATGCGTTGGGTGTAGCCGTACATTCCCCCTAATAGTCCAGCTGGTATGCAGAGCTTGACTCAAATGACGCCATTCATACCATGGATTACACATCCATAGTCAATCATGAAAGGAAACACGGAGGCAGAAAGCTACCAAAGGTGGAGGAATGAAAGCCCGGACTGCCCGGCCTCCTGAAGTCCATCGGCCGCATGGAGGGACAACCCATAGTAGCCGAGATTTCGTAATGTCGTACAAATCCGAGAATCCCATCCCCTTCAATATCGGCATCCCACAATATGGGGCCCAATCAGGGATCTTTTTTTGCGAAAGCGAACAACTCTGTAACTTTGAAGGGACCCGTGCCTCTACCTTACAAGCTTGGGGCGAACCAGTCCCCTCTAGGCTCTAGCATTTCTCTAACACCCTGCCCAACGCAAGGTCACACACGCGCACACACACATAGCCGAACAGCGGAATTCGGTATCCGTAACCCATATTGTTCTTATGCCACACTGTAACACTAACAACCTTCTTCTAGAAAGGGCCATTCGGTGACAGGTAATCCGTAGACTGATTACCTAGGGTGCCCTTTTTATTGTCAACGCCAGGCCAATCGCTTCTTCAACTCTTACCACATCTCAGCATCTTCACCTATCCGTACGAACACATAAAAGTCAGTGTATCAACTGCAGGGCCAAGTTTTACAAGCACTATACCCCTTTCCGCCCAATCCCCGTCCGCCACGCATGTAATCAGTAGTGGGAAGGGTGCCCGCCACACTTTCGCATTCATAGCAGCTCATGTGCCTGATTCTTACCGCCAGACGGCAAGGCAATAGGCTATACGGGAATAGAAGCTATTCCTAGCTTGGGACGGAAGGATGCTCTGATTTGCCATCTGCTTCTCAGCCTGCATTGCGCCATCGACCACCTACAGCCGCACTATCGGCCTGTCAAGTTGCGCATCATGCAAGTCTGAGTCAGTGAGAGCGTATGCTTGGCTCATTCTACGCCTCTTGTGCAACGTGAAAGATCGTTGATGACTATCTAGATGTTTGAGACGGCTTGTCTGGGTACCAGATTGAGACTATCGTATCAGTACGGATACTTGGACCTAGTTTGATATCATAGACGTAGCGTTGTGTTGGAACACCCGGCCTACACCATAGCTTCTCAGTTATGCTGATGATTCTTCCCATCATCAAATTGATGAAACGGCAGTCGTGAGGTGCAACCTCGCGAATCCCATCATAGACTTCACCTATCAGTCCATATCATCACCGAACGCTTCTTGGATCGGCCATGGCATGGCGGAGCACTCCGATCATAGACGGGGTTCCAAAGTCCCAAACTTGAATCCCTGTCTCACTAGGCGTAGATCACTAATCTCCATCAAAATTCGCCCTGTCCAACCGAGGGGCGGGTAATGCCAAGTTCTCATTAAGAGGGGCGGGCGAGTAAAGGATCACCTTCCTCAGTAATCACTAATAGCTGACATGACACAGACGCTGATCACTAACAAAACAAAAATGCGAACTCTACGCATAGTAGAGTGCATTTACAGAAATTCGTATAGTATGGTAGGGTTTACGAAAACTCGGACCGATACCGAAAAATCGCTGTGATGGGACGTGTGTAGAAAGCTTCACTACGTTTTGCATTCCTGCGAGGTTGTATGTTTCCTTGCTGTTTCCGCCTGAAGTCCCCGGAAAGAGGTGGCCCAAACGCAATCTGGCCGATAGAAGGGGAAGGAAAAAAAAAAAAAAAAAGAGCTCGCTATCGGTTCTACGCCGCTGCTAAACGGAAACACTGTACAGTCATTAGCGGTCAGGCGGTGTATTCTTATTTTGCCATTTTGGGGCATTGTTTCCCGTGCGGAAACTTGCCTGATTCGTGTAGTTGAGACCACTACCCAAACTCTGCTCCCTGGATAGCTCCGGGGAATGCAAACTGTCAAAAGGTGGGTGGGAGTAGTGTCTGTCTGCATACCGAACAGGGTGGGTGCCCCTTATTAAGAAATCCCACAGCAGCCGTGTCAGTGTCCCTTGCCGAGCCACGAGGTTCTCGCCAGTCATCCCATGTTGCGTGCAGCGTTTACAAGTACCGAGGGTTCGTAGGAGAGGGGAGTTGCCTGTTGTGCTGGGTGAGGTTTAAAGTTATTCTGGACATTGCCCCGACGCTCTACTCCGCAACAAGATTCACATACGGATAGAGTCGAGAAGCTCTTGACTTGGGCTAAGAGGGGGCTCGGGTCTTATTTACTAAGATTGTCCGCGGGCAGTGTGGACCCCGACTACCTCAGGTGTCACGTAAGTATTTCCCGGCGCCGAAGACCCAGCTGTCTCTCGCGTCAATGTGTGCACACTTTCGGAATACCGGATTATCTATCATGACCCAAGGTAAGGAGTGGTGCCCAACGGAGAAACCGAGGCTTAATTGCAGCATGGACTATCGCGAGAAAACTACCGCATTTTTAACCATTATAAGTCAATTCTCCGTGGCTATGTTTCAGAATCTAGTTCCAAAGCATGATGAAATGCCAGACTATATGCATCTGTCAAAAACTGACGCCCACACCACGCAGACAAAGTCGACATAGTTGTGTCCAATCCTTAACAACCTCATCTTCCTATGCAGAATTTTGATGAACAAGCTTTCAAGACAAGGTAGAAAAGAGAGGCAGGCAACCGATGCATTTACTTTCTCTGACATGTAATTCGGGTGCCTCCAACTTGGCCTCCAGAGAAGACTTCATCAACGGCATCATAGAATGCGGTGAGGTCAGCATCTATCGATGGATCTTTCTTGTAGGCTTCAGCACGCTCATGCACAAAGTCGGTCCAGACTGTTGACATATCAACCCAGTCAGTGACCTCAAACCCAGCCTTCTCGAGCTCTGCAATATAATGCTCTTTATCGGGCAAGTCCAGACAGGAAACCGAGCTTCTCAAGACTTCGAGAGTCTTGGCGTCCAGAGATGTCCGGGCAAAGAAGTCTTCAATGTACATCTTGCCTCTTGGCTTGAGGACACTGTGTGCTTTCTTGAACAGGACTTCTCGCTCTGGAATATGCAGGATGCACAGGAATGAGACGATGTGGTCAAACGGCGCACCCATTTTAGCTGGGTCAAGTTCGAGGAAGTTGCCGTTAATGGAGGTCGCATTTGTTCCAGCACCCGATTTTTCGTTAATCGTCTGAGCAATATCGTGAATCTCCTTTTGCAGCTCAATACCAGCTGTCGTAGCATCGAAGTGTCGGTAGAAGTATCTGCCCGTGCCGCCGAATCCGGATCCGATATCGAGCACCCGCTCCCCGGCTTGCAGGCCCAAAGACTTGGCAGCTGTTTCGATCGCACTATCGCCCAGGTAGTGCATGCAGTCAAACGACTTTGTGTCGTCTGCCTCCCATTCCTTCTTCTCCTCTAATTTTTCAAGCGTGCGGTGAACCCGGTTGAGCTTGTAGAGGTTCATGTCTGGTACATCGGAGGCAGTATTGCGAATTGACGGCATGGTGAATGAGGGCCCGGTAGTTCATTCGGAGTTCTCGGTCTCGGTTCTAGTCGGCTGATTGTAGACAAGAGGCCGAGTCAGAAAGTCTCTTTAGGTCCCCGGCAGTACGAGCTCGGAGCCAATGCTAAACAAAAGAGTACAACTCACTGGCCTTTTGTACTGGTCCGCACGAGTAGGTAGCTGGCTCCCTTGAATGGCGCCGTTGGGATACAAAAGTTTTGTTGGTGGTAGCGCCAATTTACCCCTCGCCTTCACCGTCGACGTCACACATTCGTCTTGCGGAACATTACAGGTCGCACGTTCCGCCAGGGATTATAGTTCCGTTCCGCGATAAAAATGATAGTGCGGCTGTGCCGAGAGATTACTATCCTATGGATGGTGAGACAGGCCAGAGACCTTGTAAGAGGTAGCTGACGTACCTCGGTGAGACATTGTCTATCAAGCAGCATGATGCCGCAATTGGTTACATGTCCATGTAGCTGCATAAGTGGGCGTTATCTCAGGGTCTGCCTCGATAGAGTCGAGGTTCCAGAGATAAAGATTGTACGATAGAATGAGGGGGATGCATCGGATGCGCAAGGTTTTTGTAACTTCTCCGACTTCAAGAGTGGGGGAACCGACATAAGGGCCGCAGATTGAACAAGTCTATTCTTGTTGTAGATTTGGTCCGGGCTCGACGCTCAACGCCATTGATTTTCAACTTTTGTGAAGTAATGGACGTAGAACCCTGGTTGCTTACCTACAACTGTTAGACCCCGACTTTTCTGAAAACAACGACGATTGGAGACCTACAGTAGACACGAACATAGCCTTGAAGCAAATAATGAGATGGGTCGGGAGGTCAAAGACTCTAGATCTCTACATTGGTTCACACTCAATTACAGTAGGAGACAGCCTCATATATACAGAAGCAAGTGTCTTGATGAGTTGCTGTCTGTATCTCACCAAATTCCACTATTTTCGAGCATCATTCTTCCCTAAATTCCAAGGAAAAGAATACCTGGACTGAAATATTCTTTTTGTACTACCTAAGCACACTAGAGAGTCCTTTCAATTCAAACCTTTCAGTAGATTGAGCCCAAACTGGGGCCCCTTGTTCTTATTCGGGTAGTCTCGCTTGCTTGCAAATCCCGACCTCAAAATACAACTTTGCCTTGAATTGTTCCATACTCAGTCGCATCAATTATTATTATTGCCCCTCCCGCGGCTCCTGCGAATGGCATCTGCATTACTCTGATGCACTTCCTCGTATTGCGCGAAGTATATCAAGTCCCCGCCTTTGACATCTGCATCAACAACCTGAGACAAAGGTTTGTTCCAAGCTGCTGGCTCCGGCACATCCTCTGTCATCGCAGCAATGTACCGAAGCGTTGCGTTGATGAAAGTTGAGTTGTAGCCACCTGTGGCAATTCTGTTTGGCTCTCCATGTGCAGGCAGGATCTTTGAGATGGGGAAAGTTGCCATTCGTTGAAGCTCTTTCTGATGCATCGGCAAGCTCTTGGCATCGGCGATGAAGGTCGCCGTATCCTCCACAGTATCACCGGCGAAGATCAGTTGCTTCGAAGGGATGTAAAGGATAGTTCCATCAGGAGTATGAACTTGGAAGTTGTGCAATTCAACAGAGAGGTTGCCCACCTTCATATCCTTCTTCCCAGTGTAGAGTTCCGTAGGGGGCACAGCAACAATGGCTGGGCTATCCGCAGCAAGATCTTGCGTATTCCTCTTCACTGTCCGGGCCGTGATTTCGTGTCCGACAATCGTAGCTCCTCCTTTGGAGAAAACTTCAGTGCCAGCAATGTGATCATTGTGAAAGTGACTGATCACCACCGACATCTTGGTCACACCTTGGCTCTGAACATGACGCATCACGGCACCTGCATGGTCTGGAGTAATGTGAGAGTCATATATGATGGCCTCGTTGCCGTCGATGATGGAATATGTCGATACTCCCAGCGTGAACGCGCCATCGTCAAGCCAATTGGGCTGATCGGAAGCGAATCGTTCTCCAGTACGCCCATCATAATAGGCGAATATGCCGGGATAGGGGTTCAGAATGCGGAGACTCTGCAATGGATCTCCTCCTCTGGCTCTACCAACGATGCTTGATATCTGTCAGGTGAATGAACTTATGCGAGACTTGCTCCAACATGCTTACCCTGAAGGCGGAAAGGAAACGAGAGAGTCTCGTCGGGAAAGCCCGCAGGCGCTGGCAAGGCCAGAGAAGCTAAGAAGCAAAGCCTTCATCGAATCAGCAATTAGTCCGAACCATGCGAAGTAGACGCGGGGAATTTGTGAAATCTTACGGGTAGCATGTCAGCTCTATGTTGGATTTTGCAAATTGTTGGAGGATATTGTAGCAGGTAGTACGAGGACCTTTGTCGACAGCCTCAAGGGACGTAGTGACTACCTATTGAACGTCGTTGTGAAGTCACGCCAAGATTTCATTTCCTGAATGTCTTCAAGTGATTACGACGTCTTTAATTGCTAACTATATATGCCATGAAACGACATGAAACGCTGATGAACGTTCCCAAACCATGTTTCGTCTGAATTCGTCGATTATTTCAGAAACGGACAGCCGGGGGCTTGAGCTTAATTATGCAACTTTTCTGTAAAGCCTGGGATTTGATAGGTCGCAAGCTCTCGGCCAAAAAGATAAACTCTGGTTGTTTCGTATTGTGCTCTTTTAGTTAGTTAGCCTTTTCGTCTTTCGCGACAGTGTTCACGATCCCGAGCCTTGTATTCGATAGTAGAGTGAGCCGCATAGAGGAGGAAAAAAACAAGCCAAGGAAGGTCCAGTCACGGTATGGCTCGACCCACGGGGATTTGAAGATACTCAGGTAAGTACTCAAGCCATATTAGGAAGAAGAAGGGCAGGCATACAGATTCCAAGGGAAAATTGAGCCCGGAAGTCACTCAGAAAGCTAAGTTGTCACTGTAGGTCTTCTCTAACGACATCACTATTATGAAGAAGTTGCGAGGCTTCTGAATGATATTGAGACCTAAATGCTATCCACGAAAACTCTGATTCCTATTCCGAACATCCAATGAATGGTCGCGCTCCTAGGTTGTCAAATTTCTGCACCCTACTTCATTCAAATCTGTTGTCGTTGGAAATCCTTTCATCCATGCCATGTGCACCATTAAATGGCAAAGGAGAAATGTCACACATGCATGGCTGGGGAGTTCTGCAAGGCGAAGCCTTTCCAACGTGAAGCATGCCCTCATGTCTAAAAGCAATGAACAAGCTCATCATGATGAAGAAGCCTATTGAAAAGCCGATGAGAGTGATCCATAGAACACACCACAGCCAAGTCGGAATGAATATTCCTTTGTGCCGAGAAGTGGAGGAAGCTTGCTCGGAATCGTTGTCAGAAGAAGTTGTCCTTATTGCACTATCAGATTCCTGCATTGGAGTCGACTGTTGAGGAGGAGTAAGGCCGGCTAAACTCAACCGGAATTCTGGTACATCGAGCGAATCCAAATGTTCGTGGAATCTAGTGCGACGACCAACCTCTGGTTCTTCAACTGTACTATTAGTCGTACCATCTGCTTGGCTTCCTTGGCCATGCTCTAAAACAGATGCGGCATCGTCTAAATCAGTTTGCAAATCTTCCGGGAGTTCCATTGCCCCAACGGCATCTTTAAATTTCCGGCCGTCGTTCTGATATCCGATTGTGACGTTTTCTTCGTGGAGGCGATAATCAGAGAGGTCCGTATCTATAGTCTCTGTGACTTCAGCATTTGCATCTCCAGCACGAAGTTGAGTGCTCACCGGACTTGGTGTCAAGGCTCCTAAGTCTTTGAATGTCTCCTGGAGTCTGGTACGTCTCTGAGCGAGCTCGCCTTCCGTCATTGGCTCTGATTCATCCGAATCAATTTCGTAACTGCCGCCCACACAGCTGCAACTATCCCAAGAGTTCCGTGGCTGCTTGCCATTATGTTGTAAAGCCCATTGGAGATAGTCGTGAGTCCCTGCGTCACCGGAGTGTTGAACTCTGTCTCGTGAATGATTATGTTGTTCCTTGATGTCAGGCAGATATTCGGGTAGGGGATGCTTGGATACCTCTCTTTTCGCCGATTCTAGAGACATTGTTGGACTTTGATACTCTCTGACCAGGATCGGCTTCCTTGCTTCCCCCAACCCCAAAGCGGCAGCAATATCAAGCCTCAGGATTGGCCTGGAACGAGTAGGCTCCTGGATAGATCCTTCGGCGCTTGAAGATGGCATCGCTGCTCTAGGAGGCTATGGGTGATGGCTTCAGAAAGCAATCAAGTGGAAATACTTCAGTGGGAGTTTGGATTGTTGGTAATTGGTGCCACCTTGCCCTTTGTATTTCTGTGAGTCAAAGTGATTAAGGACGCCTGCAGTCGTCCGGAACCACAAGCAATTTAAATATAAGACCTAAAGTAGGCATTGAACAAAAAGGGTTTGAAGTCTTCACGCAGAAAGGATTGGAAGTTTCTTTGATGTTCTTTGCTGCCTGTACAGACCACGGTGAATTCGATACCAATGTTTGTATCCAGATTGGCTTTAAGCTAACCTCTGCTATTCACTGTATCGCCGCTGCTTTCTTTTTCGGTCTGTTCGATTTCATTGGGGGTTTCCATACTTGGAGAATGAATATCACATTCGAACAATATGCGGATCAAACTCAAGATGAAGGGCATTTCTCGACAAACTGTTGTCGTGATAGTCTGACATCTCTGGTATTTCCACTTAGTCTTGAACGGCTTAACCACCTTCTTTGCCCCGCTTCGAACATGTGACCCAACTGCATCGCTTCTTTCCCGGGGGGGGTTTGAATATGTATTTCGGACTTACCAAGGTGATACTTATGACTAGAAGATCTTCCTGGTTACGTAAAACAGCGCCTTCAGGCCGTCACGAGCACCCTCGTTGAGCCCGCGGACTTGTCCAAACCGTCGGCGCCAGAAAAAGCTCCGAGTTCCCACCAATGACAATGAGTGTTAGTAATAGCTTGCTGACAGTGGACTGC